TTTAGTGGTTTAAGGCTTTAAATTTGAAAGATTCATAACAGGTCGATTGTTTTCATTTATTTCTTTACATAGTTCCGTTCAAGGTTTGCTTACTTTTGCCAGCAGTGCTGAAAAGTCTGAATGCAGCAATGACGTTATCATTACTAGAAATATGACGACTGGCTAATTCTTTTCCATTATGGGAAGTAGAAATCTTTAAATGTTTTTACAACTGGCCCCAGAAAACTGACACATATCTTGCAGATGGATAGGTTCACAAAATGGTCTGGTTCGAAGACAATAATAACGCTACAGCTTGAGTTCATATGTCTATGATTCTTTAAATGATTCTACTTGTTTGTGACAAGAGTTTGTTTCAATATGATAAACATATCCCACATAGGCTAAGAACTTTTTGGGCAACCCTCCTATGGCTTACTGGATTTGCATTCGGAAAGTTCCCTTTACTTGCATCTTTCATTCCATACGCTGTCTTGAAATTTTTACTCACCTTTACTTCAGTATTTTAAACTAAACGAACTGGGTTCGCAGACACAAGTCTGCTGTTGAACAATAAAATAAGATGTTGTTAGCTTTTGAACTATGTTTTATATGTCTTTGACATAAAAGTCATCATAATAAGCGGAAATTAAGCGGAAGGATATATGTTATTACACAAAAAGTCTTAGTAAAAGAAGAAAGGAATAAGATAAAAGAAAAACAGCCACTAACAGCGGTTAAGTGTCTTTACACTCAAACCTGAAAATATCTCCCGAGGGTGTGTGAAACCGTTTCCAACGAGAGAAAGGTTCAATGGAATAAAATAAGTAAAAAAAAAACGACAATTAAAATATTCAAGAATATCAATTTGAATAGTTTGAAATAGAGTCTCTGTCAAGCAAATTTCAACATATCAGTCAATCGAATATCAGCATATTCAAAAGCAATTCTTAATTGCTACTTATCAAGCAAACAGTTTCCTTACCAAGCTAGAATCTTTAATACATTTTGAATGAATTTTCAGTGGTTGATGTAGCAATTAAACGAATTAGAATTGTACATCTTTGGCCCTCATACTAATGACTTCCATGACAAATCCAAATGAATGACCAATATCGAGAATAGAAGAAAAAAATTTGAAATGTATTAAGGCTTTGAAAATTGACCTTCGTCATTCCAAGGTGATAAATTTTAAGGGATACAAGATACAGGAAGGAAGTATGATTATGACGTTACTAATCATTTCTGTTCAAGAAGAATGTGGATTTGGTATATGTCTGAATGGTGTAATGTACATCGTGGTTAAAAAAAATCTTCAATGAACTTTACCGCGTAACACGGGTCAAAGTGATTAGAAAAGCAAACGACCATTTGCCCTCTAAAATAGAACATCAGCTATTGAAATTTCCGTACGTACAATAATTAATGGGCCGATTTCTAATATCTTTCTATAGAAGATTAAGACTAGGGTGAATAAATTCATCTTGTTCAACGATTCCGTTTACCCTTAGTACCAGAAGCAATCAAGTCTACTTCCTTTTTTATTGACATTGCCTGGCATAATGGTCGTTTCCGAGGAGTTTCAATTTGTCTGCGTCTATATAACACAATTGAACAAGATACATGACAGACTAGAATTGAAGAGGTGCTATAGACTTATTATAGCGAACCATCATTTAGAAAGCACATCATTTTAAAGACAATTAATCTAATTATACTCTTCTTCTCATTTCAAAATATTGCTTCGTCTCTATAATGCATATAAATCACTTTTACTTTCAACACTATGTAATGGCTTGCAGTAAATCCTCTGGCAGTTTTATCGTGTTGAACACAACATAGGACGAAAACTTGAAACTAAAAAAACATCAGTTTCACGAGATTGAGCAACATTTATTATTCATTACTTCACAAAAACTGATCCTTCAAAGTTATTTTGTATCATTTTTCTTAATCAGGTTATGTTATCTTCAGCTATATTGTTTCCTAAAACATATTTCGATGATTGGCAAGTGAAGTTGCCCACAGAAAAAAAGCATAAAATGAAGAGCCTAGTTATGCTTTTTCATCAGATATTCATTAGATATTTAAATAACAACTAAAGTTGATGACGTTTCGAATACTAAAAGCTCTTTATGATATAATATCGTGATTTCCCTTGAATTTCTCCTCACTTGTTGATATCCTCCTTTGTTATGCACTCTTTATTATATGATGAATAATAATATTATATAATTTGATAATATGATATCCTTAAATTTTATGGTTTCGTCATTTTATTCAAGTTTCATTATCAATGTCATTACTTCATGTAACTAAAGGATAAAAAATAGTAAAAACTGCGTACATGATTTCAACGAAATGGCAGAAAATATGGAAAGGAATAAAATATCTAATGTTTTATAGAATATTGTTAATGGAATTGAACTGAGTTCCTGCTAATTGCAGATGGTAGGGTTAAGAAATGACTCCAGAAAATCTTGTTCAAGTACGATTCACTCCAGAAAATCTTGTTCAAGAACGATTCTTGTCCTTTTTATAATATCGAACCAAAGAAACGCACTGTTCACAGACATTTTAAATGGGGGTACTTCTCCGTCAGTCTGATTAATTAACTTTCGTTCGGGTTTTTATTAGATTTTATTTTTACTCAGCCACTCCTAAAATATAAATGCAAACAAAACAGAACGAAAGTTCATTGTAAAGCAATACCGGCGAACAGTGTCTTTTACGTGTGTTAAACAATATATTTTTCTATTTAACAGCATAGTGGGTGCAAGTGCACTAATTGATTGCGACTGAATGAAAAGAAACCAACTAGTACATATTCAAAACAGAAGAAAGCAATAAATTCCCTTCACGGCAATAAAAAGATTTATATAGTTAGTAGAAAGTTGGAACCGGTTCTGTGACAGATGATAATTTCCTTTATGTCGTGCTTAACTAATCTATTAATAAACCATCAATCATTTGTCGTGCACAGAATTGTAAAAAAATAAAAACCGTGAGAGTTTGACTGTGATCTAACAACTGCGTATGCTTCTGATTCCGAGATTAAATAAATGTGTCTTTCTTGTTCTGCACTTAATAAGTAAAGCAATTGCCACATTTATATTGCAATAGCTTGATACTCTGGCGATGTTACACATGAAACCTGACTGGAAAATCCTACAGAAATTTCATGATAATGATGTAACAAAACTCTAGATTGATCTATATACATTTACTTTTCCTTTTTACCAATACTAATTACTTCTCTAATTTCTATAGAGCTTACCATTCCATTGCTCTTGCTAATTTCACAATTTTAGTGTTACTCAAAACTCAGACATGGGATATTTTGGGGTGTAAATTGTATCCGTTTTGAAAGAAACTCATTTTTGAAGTAAATGTCTGGAATCAGAATCTTGAAATCCTGATCGGTGCCAATTAAGACATTTTTCTTCTTCTTTGTAATGTTAGATATAACATAATCGATGAAGACAATAACAATTTGACAGAAATATTGAATGGAAAAAACATACTGTTATTTTATGAATCTCAAAACCTCCTACGTGTTAGTGTAACTTAAAGCTACATAAAACGAATAGCGAAGAAACAGAAATGTAAGTGAGTGACTCTTGACGATGTGTCGACACAGTCACGGGAGAAATTTCTTCTATATCAATCTTCTAGGCTAGTCTATCAAACAACAAAGTCGGAAAAGTGTGAAAATGATGTGTTTTGTTCACGTTTATAGAGACTATCTTTGATAGAGATATATCTAACATGGTCTGTTTAACGTCTGGAATCCAATTCTAATAGGAAAACAGGGTAAACATGTTTTCTTTTTGGATAACACTCTACGTATACGTATAGAAGGTCTTCATCTTAATGCATCTGTAACACGTGTTGAACCTAGTTAGTGTTGCTTGAGACTTCATACAGAATAATTGTCATCGTGATAATAGAGACTTTTGGTTCACGTTGTTCTAGACGTTTAAGAGATCTGCAAAGAGCAAACTTGAAACTATTAGCGACGTTGACAGTTTGGATTTCAGCTGGTTGAGTGTTTAACATTCTGATGTTTTAAAATATACTACATTCAGTCTGAATTTTTCCATGTAAATCATAAGATGATCAACTATTTATAAGGAATAGGGGCAACGGTTATTCCAGTGGTGTTTAACAGTATCTTAAAGGAGACAGCATCAATTGTTAACGTACTCGATGTTTTCTGTCAAAGACATTGTTTTATAGAGACACTCTCCAGTTGCTTAGTGATAAATGTAAGATTCTGTTGGGAGAAATTTTTAAAAGTTTAACGTTTGGAATTTCAGACTGTTGAGGATAATATCTTAAGGATTGTGTAATTAAGGTTTTGTACCATCTTCATTCTTCATTGGGACAATAAAAAGAGCCAAAAGAACTGCAAGTGCTTTTCGTGTAGGAAGAAAGACAGACAAATTATGTTATTTAAAGTTCTCAGCAAAGATGAAGTAGACGAATGTTTACAGGCTGCCGGATATTAATGGGTCATACAATACTGTTTAACAAACCATCAAGATGGCTTTGATCAGTTTTTCATTAAACATTAAGAATTAAAACAATACTCCAAACATTGTCATAGTCACAAAAGGTGGCAAATTAGGATCCTGTGCAGACTAATTTGTGCTAAAACTAATACGAAATGAGGCTTATATTACAAGTAAATCTATATCGATCTCCATTCTTTGGTGATTAGCGAGAGATTTGGGAAGGCAGTTCTGACGATATCTGAGATTAAACAGGCAACAGTTCGCTGAACATTTCTATTGTAAAATACATAGATTGAAGTGTGGAGTGGTCTGGTCTACAGGGTATATATAATGAGCATGGAAAGTGATTTCAGCTTTAATTTGAAATGTTAAAAGAGAGAATTCCAACGGGTCCTCGGTTATTAGTGGAGAAATGGCCTGGAGAGTGACAATCTAAGGACAGTACTAAAGGATTATAATGATTGTTTAAGGTTTAGACGTATAGTATTATAGTTCTGCTAAATCATGGTATTCGTCATATCTATAATACTTGTAAATGCTCTGTATATAAATAACATTGAAGCCGTGGACTTACATATCGGTGTCATTTTACCATTTAAAGGGAAATTTCCATGGGTTTTAAAAAGGACTAAGCCAGCAATAGAATTTGCTATTAATCATTCCATTCCGTCGACTTTTAATGTGATAATTAATTATAGAGATTCTGAATGTTCGGACACTGAAGGGCCTTTGGCAGCCATTGATTTGTACGTTCAGAAAAGGGCCCATGTGTTTATAGGACCTGCATGTGATTATGCTGTTGCCCCGATTGCCAGGTTTTCGTTACGCTGGGGGATTCCAGTTTTAAGTGCCGGCGCTCTGGTCAGTGCTTTTTCTGATAAAAGTGAATACAGTTTGTTGACTAGGGTACAGGGTTCATACGCTAAAGCAGGTGGATGCTTTGTCAAACTTTGTGCAGATTTCAACTTCAGATCAATCGGATTGATCTACCATGATTTTCGGAATCGACCAAATGGTATTAATTCAAATTGTCATTTTACAATGGAAGCAATTTTCTTGGCGGTTAGATCCGCTTATAAAGATCCCTGGTATAAATCTTTTGATCAAACATCGAAAAATAATGATTTTTCTGCATTACTGCAAGCAGCATCAATGCATACAAGAGGTAAGTAGCTTAACGTAAAAAGTTGCTTCATTCGAAGTTTAAATATCAATTTGCATTATGAGAAATTAATCTTAACGCATTCAAAATATGTCTCGTATGAGCTTGTGCTATGGTTTTTGCTTGCATTAATCTTTGAGGGATTATTCCCAACGTACATAGCTTTATATTCAAAGCTTCTTTTTGAAAATTCTGTGAAATGCTAGCTATGATCTTTAGCTGTATGTTTGCATGGGTTTACTATTCAACCATTTGAAATTAATGTTTTATGGACCATTTCCAATAGAATAAACACGCAATTTATCAATCATTTCATTATAAAAACTGTGAATAGGCCACTTGGAATTTATATACTATAGTGATAATGATATACCACTTTAATATGATTATTCGACACCAATTCGAAGTATTTATATGGAGATTCATGTTTTAAGCCATTTGCTGTATTGTGAATTGTGAATCATTTGTATGTTCAAATGTAGTGTGGACAAGTAAAATTTACGTAAGATTTCTATAGCACAATTTTCTGCTGAAAGTGTTCAAAAGTAAATAGTGATGTTGATTTCTAATGACAGCACTGAATGTGTCTTGATAAGTTGTCTATAGACTAACATCATTTCGTTTCATTACATCAACTGATGACATTTCACACCTTGCACAACAATGGTCTCTGTAGTAAAAGAACGTTTATTAAAGGTTAAGTCTGAAGAATATCCGTGCAGTACCATGAAATATAAATTATATATCGCTTGCTTCCTAACATTTTTAATCAGTTCTCAGATCCGGTTGCTCCTTGCTACTCAACTGACACACTCACAAAGATCTTGCTACTTACTCGCACACTCATTCAGATCGTTACTCGGCTGTCACACACTCGGTTGACACACTCATTCAGATCTTGCTTCTCGGCTGACACACTCATCAAGATCTTGCTACTTGGCTGCAACTCACGAAGATCTCATATTCTCAATATACAGTGAGATCTGGACACTTCGCAGATACACCGGGTTAAGTCATGCTCCGTCACCTACAGATTTTGCTGGACTGACACTCTCGCTCAGGTCTTACTTTTCGATTAACCTACAAAGGCTGTTTCCCGACAAACTAGATTTCGCCTCTCAGATACCAAATTCTGCAATTATTTGACACACTGAATAAAACTTGCTGACAAAGTGATTCAGATTTATTTGTTGTTCTCTGGGCACATAGTTTGATTATAAATACCTATTGTATCAGGCTGTAACCTACTAAACATTGATATATAAAAGCAATTAGTTACAATTATGTACATTCAAGGCCTTACTGTTTTATCGTATTCACTTCAGAATCAATTGTGTTACATCAACCCATCCTTTTTTTCTAACCCGTGTATAGTGCTTTGTTTTGTACCATGTTCTATTACTGTCAAAGTGAATTTATCTCTGATTCTGTCAACCTACTTGCTGTCAGCTATTCATAAAAATGAGATGGTTCTTGCACAACATTTTCTTCAATAACGCGTTAAAGTACTTAACTTTTGAAGCTATGAATTTCTTTATCTGTGAATTTCTCTTATTTGACTAAGACGAAAGCCTACGGGCAATCTGTTGTTTTTAAGCAAGATGCGATCATTCACATTTTCTCAATTGATTCTAATGCAAATAAATCGCCAACGTACGATAAATGTCGGTAACAAATGAATTGACTTTCGTTCTGCTCTCAACGCTTCAAGAATAATAATTCTCCGATTAATTTTTTTGTGTTTTGTTTCCTTCTAAGAAGTGTCAAACTTAAAATTCCGATGGACATGTAATTTTAATGTCAGTAAAATAAAAGTTTTACTAGTCCCTAGAGAATCGTCCTCCACAGACAAATCACTTTATAGAAAAATAAGTTTTGTCATCTAACTGAATAAAAACTGTTTATTTGATAATTTAAAATCCATTTGCTAAATTGAATTAATTTCTTAGATCTGTATTTGAATCTACATCGTCTATCGATGAACCGTTACTGTAAAGACATATTGTGTCCTTTTTGTCGAGAAATCCTGGATCATATAAAAGAAAAACCTATCTGCGCAAACAATCTTTAGTCACTTTGATCCTGAAGTTTATTAGCTTCTGTAAGTCTATGTTCATTTCTTTGGTATTTGATTAATGGTTACATCCGGCCTTTTGTTTTCGTTATTTTATCGGCGTATAAAAGAATTCAGACTGGTCTATAATTTATTGAAGACAAAGATTATGGACAGAAGCACATTAAGTTCATCGTGGGAGAATTGCTTGTTACCTCTTTCATGCAAATATTTTCTCTCATTAATACTTTAGATCTATGTTGGTACGCAACAAAATTTGAATTGAATTGTTCGGTTCGATCGAAAATTCGAAAAGCAGTTACCCGAACTTGTCTCGCCCTATGCTACTGAATTAATAGTGCTCATTTCAGCTTGTACAAACTCCATTGATCCTATTTTTTTTAAAAAGGTTTAATTAAGGTATCTTATATTGTATCCCAATAACTATATTTTTGTATCCGAATAAATATTTTTTACAGTTATTCAGTAACAAATCGTGGTTATAAGAAAACGTCGATGACCATGAAAAATTGTGTTAAGTTTAATGGCACTAATTTGTCTGTGTTTTTCTCTCTGGAACGATTTCTTCACCTGATCTGTTTAAAACATGATTATAGAATCATTATAGACCATTACAGAGTCTAAACCCATTGATAATCAGAAAAAAAACATACTTTAAATGATTGGAGCAGACAAAACTTATTATGCTATTATCAAGAATACACATAACACAATATTGCTATTTTTGTTTCATAATTGTACTTTAATACCGACAACTGCTATCATGCATGTTTTAGATTCTTGATTATGACAGATTAAATTGTAACTGTAAAACAATAGGTAACGATTTCATTACGCAGCAAGGTTTGCAAACTTCTTTTCCTTTATCGAAGAGTTCATACGGCTAATATGTTTTAATTGATATTTCCGTTAATGCAGTATAAAACGGAAGGTTTCCTGTCACCATATCGATTACCTGTTGCGTACGATTCAAATAATGAAAGTGGTCATAAGTTCGAAACGCATAATACAAGGCAGTTACATGAGAGTTGCGTTCGAAACACCGCTTTTCTTATTTGCAACCATTCGCTGGTGATCGCTATGGTGTGAGGGCCACTTAAGGTCAGAAATATAACACTTCGGAAAAGTTGTATCGACCGCAATAGCTGACATCATTTTTAACCATGTTCATGATCCTACATTGTATTTTCATCAGGTGATCTTTTAGATAACGACGAGGAAGCATCTTAAATTACATTTGTTTGTATCTTGGTATTTCTATTCATTCAATTTGGCTGTGATTGAAAACTGATTTGATTTAATTTCAACTGAAAGAGATTGTCTGATTACCTCCGCAATACCTATTACCTATCAAATCTCCATTGTTAGATATTGGCGTCTTCAACAAAGCGTCAGTTGAGGAGCGATTGTGAACATTGTCAAGGATGTCTTGTCGTTTCTTCTGTTGACAACTTTATAATAGATCTTCATTGTTCAATTCCTGAGACGTCTGATCGTCTGGAGTAGCTTAACACTACACAAATACATACTTTACACTGATGAATTTAATTATTGAAACTTCAATTTAGATGTAATTACATCACAATTTAACAATGGAGACAGTTTTAATGAAAATCAAGATTTAAATATCACTAACTAAATTTCGATGGTCCCTGAGTTACATTTAAGTCTATGATCAAATCCCTATTACGTTGGAAATCTAAACGTACTTGGTACTCTTCGTTTCCTGCCACGCTGCCCTTGAATACAGCAAGAACCCAATAGAAGCCAATGCATAGTTTAAAATGCTCCACCATCCTGAAGAATGCCAATACTAAATTCTGATTTTGTATTTTCTTTATTAATGAATCGTGGACAATTTACATTTCACGTCACATACTTGGTAGGTATTTGACTAAGTATTCTATTAAAGAGTCCAAAGACAGGATCTATGAAACGGCTAGTTAATATTAATGACGTTATTTCCGCTATCCCCGTGATTCCGAGATCACTAACGAACTGTCAGTAATGACTCTATCACATGTCACAATATTTACTCGAAGTGTTCCATCATTTGTCATAACGGGATGTCAAAGTCAGTCGTAGATACCTCATCAACTGTCACACCACGATAATGTGACAAGTTAATGTCATCATCAGTAATGCTAATGCTGGAAATCATTTTGTTTACTCCACCAGAATCCTCAAGAAACAATAAAATATATCTTAATACCCTCAGCAGCAACGCTTATCATTGTGGAAATCATATTGGTTAGGCCTAATGTTACATTAAAATCATTGAGTGAATTGACATGTCATGTCGCAGAAATATTAAAAAAATGTTAGAAACTGGAATGTCTCAACAGGCCATGTTAAATAGGTATTACTATCCTCAGTATTACTAAGCACTTTGAAAAACACTTTGTTTGCTTTAATAGTTGCTACACAAGTTTACTTCCAGCAAACCTGATAACGTGACGCTATTTGATCTATTCTCAGTACAATGGACTGACATTTTATTTTCAAAATCTAATTCAATAAGTATACAATCTTTTAATGGATCATATATTAATATACATATTTAGAATTCTACACAGGAAATGATGAAAATTTGTTTTACTTTTAAAAATAGGAATGACACACTTTATCGCTTTGTTTATTGGTGATAATGAGGTTCATTTTCAGGTATATTGTTATCCATATAACACTTATTTCAAACAGTGCCTGCAGACGTGGCACTGTTTAGTCATGTAGTGTAGAAAAGCGTTCAATTGTTCGAATGGAACTAAAATTAGTGTCGCAAGAATGAAAAGGATTCGGTATACCTTTGTCCAATGATGCTTGTGTTACATTTCCTTATTGTCTTACAGGACATATATCTTACTTTTTGTCAAGTTTCCATGTACATCTTGGTCTCTATTACCACTGTGTTAGCTACACGTAGCTCCCAATATTATTGAAGCTATTCATGATAAAATTTTTGCTTGTAAACTAAAGAATGAAATATTTTCAAATAGAAACGTAACGAATAGGAAAGACTCAAATTACAATTAGTTTGAATCTATTTCACCAAGATCTGTGAAAAAGAGCTTGATATCAGCAAATCTTTTACCATCGGGATAACTGACATTCTAGTTTTTATCTTGGAAAACCATTATTTCTTGAGCTATTGTATTAGATGCTTAATTAGTCACCAATCACAAAGTACCATGTTAACATACCAGTGATCTATAACAAATGTGATAAATGCGAGTCTTGTGATTAATCCTACACACTTTACGGTCAGACAGGACGAATCATTTCTGTATAATGTCATCATTTGTAAGCAGACATTGATCAAGTCTAATATTCATATTGTTAAGATATTATATCTGGTAGAATCTTTTGGTTATTTACAAGCTTTATCTTTACCCCCTCATTATCCCTTTACCGTCTTCTGATATTTGTAATCTAGATTACTGTCATAATATTAATCTAGATTTTCAATTTTCAATTCAAGACTTGGATAACCACCATGTCTGGTATATCTATGAGACCATGTCATACAAATGAATGAATTGAGTTTGCGTCCTACTTTTCTACACCTGAACGCCATGCAGTGTGCAAGAACATGTTGCCAGCAGATTACCCTACTAGTTTTCTATTTCCAAGTGTCGCGGGATCTTTAACGCGCTTAAGCCTGTCGCGCCTACCTATAAGGCATGGGTAGTTGGTGATCTATTTCATCTGACAAAATCAAGTTTGTTCATACTCAACATAGCCGTCGTGTTTCCGTAAACAGCGTTAAATTAACAGTAAATTGTCCGAGCATATTGCCATGAACTTTAAGTTACATCTAGAAGATGAAATATATTTCATGTGTCTGCAGTTCTGTCAATCACTAAAAACATTCCAATTAAGAGATTTTTCTGTCAATTCCAATTGTCAATTAGATAAGTCTGGTATTTGTTTGTAGAAGCAACAATTAATGTTTCTGCTATTTACTATACCAATAACTCCCGTCTTCCTTAATCTCATTTGATATCGGGGCTAGAACTAATGTAATGGCGCTAATTCGTCCTGATGACTGTTGTGACATAGTATTAAAACAGAACCCATAATGTCACGAAAGCTCACAACCTTTAAAAAGATAGACTAATTCCTAAGGAAGTCTAAGTGGAAGTGAAATCTTTTCATTATCAAGTCTCGGTCCAAGAAATGGAAAGGGTAAAAGATCCAAATGTATGTCGGCCAAATTTGATTAACCCTAAAATGTCTCTCAATGCACTTCAAACACGTTTGCTTTTCTCTTTCGTCTGAAAGTATTCGTGATCTTCTATCTGTTTCCCCTTTCATGTAGATCGACAAAAAAAAGCCTTGGTTTATTGTCAACTTTGGTCCCTGTGCCAGTGTTTTCGAATAAGCTTTTTTTTACATCTTAGTATTGTTTCACCGTGTTTGTTAACTCTTTGGACATTTCCATATATAGCCAAATATGATGCTAAACAGCAACCAAAACTGTAACCGACATTTAAACTTCTGTTATGAGACATCCATATTGCAGCTTAATTTCATTTCACGAAACCCTTTTGTATACATCGGAATGTTTAAGGAAGGAGTCTCTGTCTCTAAATCTTCATATACATTGTTTGAATGTCATCCACTGAACAAAGAGATATGTTATAATACCTAAGACCTAAGTAAAGTTTACTGTATAGAACCATTAACAATATTGTTCTAACTAGACACCATTAACGCCGTACTTTAATCATCAATGATTTGACTCAGTCTGTATAATATACCCAGGAAAGGTTGAATGTGTTGAAATGGTACTCTTCTTTCAGTATTAGATCATTCATTAGTTGCACAAGACAAAATGTGTCGGCTTTCACATTGGCCGTATTTTATGATTTAAAACCAGTAATCAGTTGCCTGGTTTATCCATGATCGATGAGTGACACCACGAACATTTTAAAAGGGTTTACCAGGATCAACACTTGACAACATATGCATTAAAAGGTTGGCCAGGATCAGCATGTGGTATTAAAACAGATTGCCAGGATTAAAATTTGACAAGATGTACCTTAAAAAGGTTGACAATGATTAAAACTTGAAATCGTGTATCCATAAAAAGTCTCGTTATTAACACCATATTCGGATTGAATCGCCGTATAGATTTTCTTAGGAAAAATATAAATATGCCTTAAATCTTGTATCTGTAACTTTTCGGTTATTTAAATATCTGCAAAAGCGATCTTGTTTAAAGGGGAATTCCTCTTTTTTTGTAAAGCCTTTTTCATTATCAAAATGTCGTAAAATATACCTGAAAATATTTCTAAATGCGTTGGAGACATTTTCTCTTATTTTACTTAAATCCGCACCATAGTTTTCTAACAGCTTCTTTAAACCATTTAAATGGTTTTGGCATTAAAATATTAACGACAGGATTTTTTGGGGAAAAACATTAAGATACGTTAAGGGGCATATTTCTCTAGTTTCTGGTGTATATGTTTCACGAATTTGAGTAAAAAAGAAAATGTTTGACCTACAAAAAAGCGGAATGTTCCTTTAAGTTGTATATAAACCTGTATGTCCTTTATGTACTTTATATAATGTTATGTACCTATTTTATTTTTCAGTGGTGGTATTATGTGCTGCACCAGAATCTGTTCGAGAAATCATGATTAAAGCTCACGAATTAAATTTCGATAATGGAGAATATGTATTCTTTAATATTGACCTGTTTAGCAGGTAAGTTATCAAGTTTGTTTACCAATTTTTATATCTGGCAACGTGTCCGCTTTGGAATTAAAACTCTCCGTTCCGACTTAAAATCGGTTTATTTTCCACTGAAACTATTAATTGATAACCAAGATAATCAACTTCACAATTACATAGGCACAAATAATATAAAGGTTATATCAAGTTAGTCTTTTAATATTTTATAAGTTTAATATCAGTACATTGTCTGGAAATTCGGTGTCAAAATATATTCTCTTTGGTACATTATATTATTTAATACAAATAACATTGACTCAGACTTTATATGACACATTTTTAGAAGGGATTTTGTGTACCAGATAACCCAGTACAAGACAAAATTTTTTATTATGGAAAAGCAAAATGAGAAGTTGCAAAAGCACCAACTGAACATCCGCGCTTACTCCATTCGTTGGAGCATGGCCCAATCATTTTCTGTCTTATATGGCTCATTTTATTTCTAAGAAAATCTGTCGGTTATAGACTTTGAATAATGAATAACGACTTGAAACGGTATATGTCGTTTTTTGCCTATGTTAAGAAAATGGAAATAACAAAATTGAAATAATGTGAGTAGATACTGATGCTGAATAAACAGGTAAGACTTAATATAGACTAAATAATCGTGATTAGAATAAATAAATGAATAAATGATCATTAGTTGTAATGTAATAATATGGCCTTTAATCATACCACTGACGTAGGATCGGTTTATTTTCCACTGAAATTATTAATTAATATTTCTAATCGTGTGTTAAAACCAGATAATTAGCTTACCACATACATCAGCACTTCTTATAGTGACATAAAAGCTAATGAGCTTCTGTAACCCTCTTTGTATGGAATCAAAAGGTTATTGAGAAATCCTGTCATAAAATGACTTTGAAGCCAGTAAACATGTTTTCCAATAAATGACATGTGTACAGTGGTAAAGGTTTTCTTAAGCTGTTAAAAGATCGCCAGATTATGATGAATTGTAATGGTATTAACATGGTTCCTGTATTCTTTCAGATTGATTTGTAGTTTCTTTTTTTACCTCATTAATGGATGACTAGAAGCTTATATATAAAAGATGAATTAAAGGGATTGTAAAGAGGTTTCCTAAATTTTGTATCAATCTGACGTCTGTGGTTCTAGAAATTCTACTAAAACTAAGTGTTTTAGTTTTAGTTTTAGTTGAATTGCAGGAATCACCGACGTTGGATTGAAAATTGGAATGGTGCAAATTGATGCTATCAGTGTCCTCGATACTCATAAAAAATGTAGAAAGCCTCTTTACAAGGAAACCATAGCAATAAACATAATTCAACCAAAAAAACAGCCCCAGCAGTCTTGTTCCGTTTTTTGAACATACCAATTTTTGTAATTTGTAAATAGTTCTCGGCCAATTTTATACTTTTTCTCTGATTTTTGCATATTTAGCCCTTTAAACCAACTATCCTTGTACAAGACCGTGCTAACCTCCTAACACTGAATGAAATCACAAAAATGCATGAACAAGTTTTTTAAATTCCTGTATTGTTCAATGCTATCTTAAACGGAATCCATTTTGGGCAAAATCATCATCAGTTACATTTAGCAATAGCAAGTGGATAAAGAGTGATACTATACTGTTTTTTGAACACAATATAATATTAATTGATCATCTTTACAATACTGTTAATCTAACAAGTCATCAGCACTATTTTCTAAATAACGGTAATTATTTGTTCAGTGAGATATTGAATAATGTACAGCAATGTTTATTGACCCGCTAACTGATTCATGTCAAAATGCCAACATTTTAACAAGCGCTGAATGTATGAAAATTGTTCTTAATTCTCTTCTCTATGCAATATTAAGAAGGAGAAGGGCACTTGATCAGAAACTGATTGAACATTCTTCCCTCATAACACGCAGAAAGTGAGCTGAAATTGAATTTTATATATAATCGCCAACAGCGTATCGTCGATAATTATTTTTTTATTGAAACCATTTCTTCGCGTCACCCGCTAACAGTATAGTTTTGATTTGTGCTAAATAGTAATTTCTGTCCTTTATTTCACATATTAGCGATCCTGATTGAAGATATTGTCAGGAGACATTTGACATTTTATTACCATTTCAATCTTTGATAGAATATATGACAAAAGTACACGTCACTGACTTACATAAGGCACTTGGTATCTTTCTTACAAGAAATTCGACTTACATAAAAAAAAAATTGGCTGAGGTTATTCCTAAATGCCAGAAGAATCGGACTTAAACGTTTTATACAAATAATTGTTTGATCATTCCTCAAATTAGGAAATAGCTATCCGCTAGGTATAATCCTTGATATTACCCGGAAAGTAAAAAGACGTTCCTCCCACCATCCTGAAATAAATTAACAGATATGCCCTAATAACTGATGGTTTCTAATAGCTCTCACTTAGATATTAACACATATAGAAGCTCATTTGCTTTTGAAGGGATACATTTGTATGAAAAACTTGTTTCGATGTACTCAGGCCCACAGCAACAGGGGACAAGGGGACAATGCCTAAAAAAGATCGACAACATGCAAATTCCATTACTGTCCCTCCGGATATATTACTTCCAGTCTGGCTACGGGCCTGAATGTACTAGGTTCCAAAAAGTAACGTGCCTTACTTTCTTTTAATGAATATAGTCTTAAGAACTAATGATGCTCATACATCATAGTTAAACCAATACATAAATTCTAATCATTGACCAAACCAAAGTATAATGTCACATGGATCAAAATATGTACCTGACGTATCAACATTTTCTCTGCCATCTGGCGTTTGTCTTTAACCCTGAACGTGTCAATAGTATATGTTATTAAGGATACTTTATTCTGAGAAATATCAGGGCTGCAAGTGTTCTTGTTATTAATTCTTATATCGGATTTTTCAACCCGGTTTCCCCTTGTAAATGATGCAGGTAAGAGGGACTGACACGGAAAAGGTGTCTAGTCGTTCGGATGAAACCGAGGCGGCTGTGCACGTTAAAGATCCATCGACAGTTGGAAATCTAAAAAAAGACAATTTTTCTGTCCTCGCAAAATTTACGTCGTTGTACCCTGCATGGCGTTGTCCGTCTTCATTAGCAGAAAAGTAGGACGTAAAACTCCATTTATTTCATTCTCATTTTTTGTAATTAATTATATTTCATTATCGTCAATATTTGAAATAAAGTCAACTTTTATGATATATTATAGTAGATTTTTGTGTCCATTTCACCATATTGTGAATCTGCCTACTCAGTACTTCAATCTAATTATGACTGATCCATTATACTTGTTGGTATGTTCCATCTTTGCGTGTCTTACAATTGGGATGATTGACTAATGGGACGTTTAACTAATGGATATTACCTATATTTTAGGTTAATACATCTTGTTAGATTCAGACGTATAATGGTATATCTTCAAGGTATTGCCTTCACAGTCGTATCTTGCGCTTCTCTTAATAACCAACCGAAAACTTATAACAGTGTTTTGGGTAATTTTGAAAAGCAATCAAGACCTGCCAAAGTACAAAGTAAATTTGATCAGTATCACCTTTCAAACTTCATTGCGGTTTATTCCCAAATCAATAAGTTTGAAGGTCAGAATTAAATGGAAATGAAATGAACGACCGGAAAAATAAAACATTTAATGAAAAAGTCGCTGAAAAGATTAAAGTGAAATTATTTGAAGTGAACATCTGCTGAAATGATTTGAAGATTAATCAAGTTAGATACCGGAACAATAATTAGAGTATCATGATAGATATTCCACGGGGCCTACTTACCTTCTTGACTTCACTGATTATTAAATGAGGCAACCCTTGACCTCGTTTACGTTCATTAAAGACTTAGTACTCTTCGGGCTTCTAATTTGATGGCAATATTGTGACCCCAAACATAAAATTTGTTAACCATTTAACTCGGTAAATAAGTGTTACGATGTAAGTTCACACTTAAATTTTAAACTAACGGAGCGACTAATATGCGTATTAATGAGGACGTATCAACAACAAATTGGACATCCGGAAACGTGATCATAAGTAACCACAAATCAAAATGCAATCAGAATCGGTCTTTCGAGAACCTCATCTTCCCGAGTACGCATGTTGTTAACCACTAAATACCACTAATTGTGGGACAGAAATGGCTTAATTCCAATCGTTTTATGAAACGTGTAATGTGTCTCTCAAGTTCATAAACTGTGTCTGTTCTTCATGTGCCCTTGACAGTTGGAAATAAAACAAAGCGTAGGATAATGTTACTTCCTCGTCTATGACCGATTTCGTAAGTCCAAATGGAAGCAACAAAGAACCACATAAAACTCAATTTTATTTCGTTTCGAGTACATATGTGAACAGCCGAGGATCTTTGCATTTTAAAAGATAAATGACTATCGGTGCCAGGGATAAGGGTTCAAACATAAGGCAGTATCACATGGATAATTAAACCTTTTTGCTGTTCATTTCCCTCGTGAATATAAGATAATATATTTAATATTGTTTATTGTATTTTTGTTGGATGTGTTGATATGGATTGATGGACATCTTCTGTTCACAATTCCATTTATTTTTGTTTTCTATTCGGTACAATCTTTCTTGTTAACCATGGTCATGATGTGTTTGTAAATCATTGCTCTTATGTTCAGTTGTTCGTAAATTAAACAATACCTCAAGATTTAGTAGAAAGAAATTTGACCCTTTGACGCGGCATAAGTAATGCCCCCTCCCCTAAAAGGCAACAGAAAGACGAATTGTGAATTCAGCTATATGTAGAATCGATTTCATCCATTCTCTTACATTAAATTATTTCCCTATTTCTTGTAGTAAAAATGCCAGTCAGACGCCATGGTATAAGGCAGATGATACACCAGAAAGAAACGAAGCAGCTAGATTGGCGTATGATGCATTAATGACCGTCACGCTTAGAAAACCAACATCTCCAGAATACAAAACTTTTTCAGAAGAAGTGAAACGAAAGGCAAAGGAACTGTACCCAAATTTTACGTATGGCGAAGAAGAGGTAAGGCTGTCCGCAAATTTTTGTTTAGGTTTCGTTTATCAAAAAGGCATCACACTAGTTTTCTTCAAGTAATGGTATATTAAATAAAGTCTAGTCTAGAACTTAGAAGCTGATCCTCTAGCCATTTCAAGCTTATTAAAAATAAAGATAATGTATATAGAGATGGATAAAGTAATCTTGCATGCAGCCATGTATAGAAGAACTCATGACAGTATAAAATAATCTCATACATTGGAGAAAAATTACAAAAGTTAAACAGAGGAAACTTGCTAATGTTGAAAAATTCAATATTGAATTTTCATGAAGCCAATTTCCTTATTGAGCAATAACATAACTTCTGGCATCTTAGATGGTGCCTTCTAGGAGGCCCCTGACGCCTTGACAATATAATATTTGATCGATATGATAAAAGAAATTATTCTTTTGGATGAAAAATAAAAACGTTTGATCTGATGTCTGTGTTTACAATTATGAAATTATGTACTGTGCTACGATTGTTTAATGTCACGTCAGGTATCAGTCTTCATGAAATTAGACCAAACTTAATCATATACTGAAACGATGATGATGTTTGTTAATGCCTTTGGTATACATGTCTTAATAATTACTAAAGATGTTCAGTTTAGGTACAAGGTTAAAATATACATTAAGAAATGATTGCTTCTTAACGAACCATAAAGACTGTTTACATTAAAAACTGACAGATTTTAGCCAAGATTTAGTGCTGTTGGTATTATACACGGTACATTGGTAATTGGCCGTGTTCTTGATTTCGCTTTACCCAGTCTGAAGGAAGCAATTCATCAGAAAGTATTGACACATCCAGTATATAGTTAATAATGGGCTCATATAACTATCACCTATCAAGGGTATTATTTTCGCAATGAGAAATAAATGAAGGAAGGATAATAGCATCAATTATATCGACATCAAACCCCCACTTTCTCGTAAAAAAGCGCACATTTTATGAGATGTATCAAGTGCAACTGATATAGAAAATTCGTGTAGAATAAAACAGAAATCATTGCATTCCATTCTGAATAATGTGATCTTGTTCAATGATCACGATAATTATAGCGGCTATAGTTACGCATTCTCACACTGTTTATTTTCATCTACAAGGTCGTCTTGGCATTCCATCTTTAATTATATGACCATCTAAAAGTAATTGCTACTGTTTTTGTGTTGGGTATTCCTTTATGCCACAAAACAAACAAACAAATGATGACGTTGTGAAAGTACATTCCATGGATCTTAGCAAACAACCCAACGCTAGTAACCGTGGGTGCATTTTGTAAGCATCAATGGTACCTCGATGAAAAGTGTCCGTTCCAGCTTTTTTAGTGGAGTGTATTATTCCTAGAAAGCAAACAAACACAAAAACTGTATATGCGTTAAGATGCATATTATAAGCAACATTGAAGCAAATTAAAGACATATTATACATGTTGCATTAAAAAAAACAATTATGCTTACTTGAATGATGAAAAAATAGCGTGTTGCTTTTGTAATATTTTATATCATTTGATATTAGACAGTTTTAAGATCTAGAACGGTAACGGTGTTACTATTCTTCCTAACACAATAATATAAAAGAGAAGAAAGCCGAATATTGAATTTCCGAGCGTACTTAACTTATAATATAATATAATCCATGCATAAACTTAATTCATCTCAGTTTCTCTTCACGGAAACAAGTGGGCATATACATGGTGATCAATGAACATAGATGGAATCTATTCAATAGTTTAATAGTGTCTGTTTTCATGACTATATTATGTCATGAAGTTTGGTTTTAGGCAATAATGATACTAATGTTCAGAGAATTTTAGGTTGACATATATGTAAGAATTCAGAATCTGTATCTTCAACATTAATAGAATGAAACGTTATACTTTCTTTTTGTTTTGCGGGGTTTGAGGCCAAATTATTACATATCACACCTCACACAAACATATTAACCTTTCTAGCACGGATTATAGATTCCCCATGGAGTGGAAAGCGAAAGACAACAGACAAAATATGACTAAAGAGTTTATGTCAGTTTTACAATACTGTTTAGTAATATATAAAGTGATAGTAGTCTGTATAGGTCAGGGCTAGATATAAATTGACAGGCAACATCCCCCTTATTTCACTAATGAGCTCATGCAATCTTTGAGCTGCATATCGATTTTTGAGTTAAAATATAAAAATTGAACGACGTAAAATAGATGATTGATACACATTATCCATCCTTTAACTTGACTCCAACTCAAGTAGGTTGTTTTGATATGGTTTTGTAAATGCTTTTACTGCTTTCAAAACTTCTTTTGCCTTTTTTCCGTATCAATTGAACGGAACGTTTCAAAATGAAAATCTATTGACAAAATATTTTACCTAAAAAAATACCTACCTATAAGACTATTATTGTAGCAAATGTGTTTCAACACTTAATAAAGTTTTTTTTCTGTTCTATACAGTTTGAGAGTGAATTAATACTAGGTTTTGTTCAATAAATTGTTTTACCGTAAAAATCTCATGATTTGGTTCAAGACGAAAATCAATAAAAATGCATTATATAGTTTATAAAAACCAAACATTTAGCTTGAATGTAGCGAATAATGGTTATTCCATATGACTAGTACTACAATAAACGTCTGTATTTAATGATCGTAGTGTATGATTTCAGTGAATTAAATTGTTGCCTTAATGGCTTGAGGGACACTCAAACCATAGCTATCACCAGATGCATGTGATTGCCAATAAGAATAGCGGTCATGAATTTCTAGAGCAACATTCATGCAACTTAGTTCGGAGTTCGAAAGTCATAGCCGCTTTCATTACTCGCAACCACGCGCAAATGGTAATCGCTATGATGAAAGCACACCTTTATTTAGTAAACGGTTTAAAAAATATATGCTGAGCGTTTGGACTTTACTATGAAGAGTATATGTAAACAGTCTTCAGAGGTACTAGAAATGTACGAAAATCAAAAAATTCCTTTAAAAAAACTTCAAAATAGGAAGTTTACTCACTATTTCTCTATATTTCTTTTCTATATATCCCAGAATATCCCAAATTGACGAGTCGTCATTTTAACATTCAAACGCAGATAATTCTAGCACACATGGATTTGAAGGCCCAAATTTCGACGGTGAGCTGAAAACACTATTACTGATTAGCTCAGCTAAAAATTCTAGTTTCTGAGACTAAAAAATGATTGGTCAAAAAAATGGCTTACCTTTCTCTTTAATTTATATCAAAATATCCTATGACAATTTATCAAAATGATGCAAATAGATGGAACAGATGAGATCGACTTTTCATTTAAAACAGGATAACTTACATCAAATTGAGTTAATGCTTGTTAATTAATGAGATATTAAAACGCAAGAAACTCATTTTATTTGCCGACAGAAAAAGATATGCATGGAATCAAATTAAATGTTAAATAAAAAGGAATTATCACGATTTATTTCACGTATTACACGTTTAGAATATGTATGGAGCTGTAAAAATGTGCTAAGATAATGTGCCATTCATGGTTCAGTCAGTGAATAAATGGATAAAACTTCGGAATAAATGTTACAACTGAGAAATATTCATGTTCACTTTAATTTTGCCATTCGTTTAAATTGTTTTATCAAAGGATTTGTTTCTCAGATATACCACCCCCGAATAAATCCAAATATATATCCAAATAGTCCCATGACAATATCCAGAACTTATCAGGAAAATGGAAAATAAGAAGGCGTACATATTGGAAAAGAAGATTGAAATAGATTTTCACATTTTCTGATGACCACAAAATCTAGTATTTTGAAAGAAGTTAATTTACTATAGTTATTTTAATTTCTATTCCGTTCTCATTTATTTTCACAGGTAAACAGCTTCGTTGGTGCGTTTCACGATGCAGTTATATTGTATGCTACAGCTTTAAATGAAACACTGGAAGCCAATGGATCTATATCTGATGGTGCTGCCATTACCAAACGCATGTGGAACAGAACATTTGAAGGTACGTTGTCCCTATTTTAGGAAAGTATCTTCCTTCTTGGTTAAACCCGAGAAACCATGTACACTATATGCAAAGATACGACAAGGAATGGTGATCGCGAGTCAAGTGAATTCGAAAGCCATATTTTCTTCAGTATTTCAATCGACAAAGCTCTATATGGTTTCCTTACAAATATTGCGAAGGATTTATCAAATTAAGCTAGTTTCATGTAAAATATAGATATTCCTAATTTTAATTCCACTTTTTGAATATGTTATGCTTGTGTGTCTGTTCGTGTTTGAATTACTGGGAAAAAACGATTTGGAATTAAGTTTAAGGCGATTGTAAGAAGGATATTAGACAAGCTTTCAGACTTTTCCAACAAGATTATAAATGATATCAATTTCAGGAATTACTGGGACTGTCAGTATTGATGCTAATGGTGACAGGAATGCAGATTATTCCCTGCTTGATCTCAATCCTGAAAACGATAAGTTTGAAGTAATTCATTTTTTTGTGCTTCCTTATCAAAAGGTTATATCTACAACAATTTTAATTGTATCCAATGTGGGTGTTGACAAAACTTTTATTTAGAAGGCGTTTAGTGTGTGCATTATTTCCAGTAATTACATCATTTGCTTACTTAGATTCTATTTGCCAGTCTGACTGAGGACATTGCGTTAATGGTAGTCTTTGATTGATTTCTGTATATACTTGAAATGAACACGGCATACCCTAATTGATAGTTTTTACTTCAGTTTGATCAGATTAAGAGCTTATATTAACTATCACAGAAGAATTGTATAGTATATGTCACGCTCGTGCTGTTTATTTCTCACAAGAATACTGTTATATGATGGCTTCCTAATATGAACTAATTTAAAATCTATAAATTGACCAACGCTGTAGAGATTAAACCGTGACTTAATACACTAGAGTATATTATTGGGTTAATAACCTATTCAACCCATTAATAAAAGCTTAACTTTCCATATTAATTTGAGTGAAAGATAATGGTCAATCGCGACACAATATAAACCAGATAATTGGCATTATTTTTCAGGTTGTTGCTAATTATTTTGGTAATAAGAAACAATATGAAAAGGTGAAAGGTAAAGAGATACATTGGGCTGGAGGAAGAACTGAACCACCTCCCGATGTACCTGTCTGTGGCTTTGATGGATCTTTATGTCCACCAGAAGGTTCGTTACACCTTATACACATCAGTCCACAATACCTCTAGTAGCAGAAACAGCAATGATTCGCTGGTTTGTCAGATGATGTGTGGTATTAAGCTTATCCAAATTATGTTCTGTCTTTGAAGTTTTCCTCTGTCGACAGCAAGAGATGAACTCAATACCGTAGGTAACTTCAAAATGTAAAATCAAACTCTTAGGCGAAAATTATTTGGTTACCTTTGGAAACAGGTATACATTTCTGAATACAATATAGCCGATTTAAAAGACGATTGAAATTACATTGAACAGGGGAGTTAGGTGTTCATATCTAGATTTATATCTATACGATTTTCAATGTTAACACCAAACAAACGATTTCTTCTGATCCTTTCAGAACCATTTCCAGAATATGGTATAGTGATAATAGTATTGGGCTCAATATTAGTAATAGTTTTAGTAACTGTCTTTTTTATCTATAGGTAAGTAAGTCATTACCGAAACGAACTGAAGGCTCAATGTTTTGATTATTGAGTTGCATAGATAGATAAGGTACAGTGGCGTTTCTTAGAAGGGGCCACGGAAATGTGATTGTGGGTTCATTGGAAACTTTGAAATTGGTGGGCAAGTCTTTTTCTTAGAGAAAGGGAAGGTGGGGAAGGAAACACGGCTCCGGTGTAGAAACACCTTCAGGTATTTATAGTCTTTTTATGACTGAAATGAATGCCAGCAGTCAATTAATTCCTATATTGTGTAAAGATTGTTTAGTATAGATATGTCTGACAAGCTAACTAGTTTGTGATGACAATATTTCATATAATTTGTAACGTGGCCTACAGGTATAATAAAATAGCGATATTAAGACTCCGTTTAGACCCAATTATTAAAATTACTAGACAGTCTGATATGAAAGGGTTTGTCTATCGATTTTTTTTCTGTGGTCGTATTATTAAAGTATCTTAATAACAAAATACCCTCAGTGTTGTGAAGAGTCGATGTATGGTGTTTTATATTCCTACTTTTTATCATCGAAGATCATGTTGATGATACAAAAACGGGAAAGTTTTCTCCGTCTTACGTGGATTTCACAAACCAGCTGGAGTAGAGAAATGCATCTGAACGGACCTTCAAGCAAAAGTGAACTTACCTTGTCTGCAATCCTCTGAGTGGTTGTTACGAACCTCAAACCTATAATGCCCATTAGTTGCATGTGGGTTGCGTTTGGAACATACATGACCACTATTTTAAATTCACAACCGGTGATCACTATAGTGTGAGAGCACTTTAATAATTGGTGTAAAAAAGGTGTTTTTAGATTCCGACAAATAGATGAAACAAGGTGTTTCTTCATCACGTACATAAATCAAGTTTTACAAGTTTATGTTAAGTTTTGTCATATAATACTAGAATCTATTAACCTCAACTATTAATTGCGATTTTTTCGTCTGGGGGAATGCAAATGATGTCTAATTTGTAAGGGAAATCCTCTTATGCCCATATTTTACAATTTACATGCATCTTTGATAGACAACGTTTCCAAAATGTCAGACGAGTTGAAGTTATCATTTCAAATTGCCTAAATTATGACCATTTATTCGAAGGCAGCTACGTTGTAATTAAAGAAATATGAAGAGTCTTATATGTTAAATGCGCTATTTTCAGACATATAAAGCTTGAGGCGGAATTGGCAGAAATGAATTGGCGTGTCAAGTGGGACGACATTCTCTTTGGTTCACCTGAAAAGAATCACAAGTTGGAGCGACAAGGAAGTCGGATAAGTTTAAATCGGGTAAGCGGAGTATGTTTATGCTTCAAAGAACATGATCGGGAAATGAAGAAAAATTCCCATTTATTACGTTGTCTTGACAACTTTCGTCGGATGGAAAATAAACCGAATCTCCTGAACCACAGACTAGGCGTTTAGTTTAGTTGGAAATCGAAAGGTTATAGACTTATGCCGCTGTCCTGTGAAATTTCACTCCCGAAACATTTCGTTACTTGCTGGTCTTTGAGCCGAATCTGAAACAGGAATTGATGACGTAAAACCTTTTGTCATTTTATAAACACGCCTTGGGACGACGGATCATCTTTCTCAAAAGCAGTGTATAAACTGTTTAAAAATTTATTGTGGAATGATAATTGAATTTGTATTTACAAATATTTTTTTTGTTAAAACGTTATATTTTCTACTGATATTTAAAACACACTCTATTTTTTCACGCTGATGCCTTAATTAACTTCGTGTATTACATATAGCCACATGATATATATAAGAGAAAAGGTGTTTTATTAAAGTATCATATACAATCCTTACCCGGAAGGATGTTTCTAAAGGTTTTTCTATGTCTTTCTTTCCAGAAATATTCATATGCCAGTTCGTGCTCAGGAGACACAATTGCTGTTCATCTAAATGATGCTGGTAACAGACAATTATTCACAAAAACAGGGTACTATAAGGTAACAGATATTCATATTTTTGAAACAGACTCCCACCTGACATAAGTTTTCTTATAATTTAAATAAACACTAATCTAAATCTCATTTGTGAATGATTTCTTCAGAAATAGGATATAAAGATTTAATCATTATTCATCAGATGAAATTCGGATCAGATTTGTTTTATCTTAAAAAGTTACTATTCATATCCAAAGAAGCATTGTCTCTACCCTAAATCAAAGTTGGAAGAACAATGATTTAAGATGTTAAAACTTGAAAACACTGGCTCAACTACCACAAGGACGGGTTGAACATGTCCACGCGCCCCTATTACTAAGAAGGCCGCATCCCAAGACAACAATACACAATTAATAAATGTTCTGAAGTAAGTACCTAAAAGGTTAACACACAATGTAAAATCGTTCACAGCTGATGCCCTATGAGTTTGAAAACATTATCAAGTATTTAAAGTTTGAACGATAAACCAGGGCATTTTATATTAAATCTCCAAATGAGTAGTGGAAAATCAAGACAAAACTTCGATTTTTGATATTTAGTGGTCATGACTTGAGTATTAATTTCATCCCTCTGCTATCATATTATTTTCAAAGCGTATACTGTCGTATATATTTGACCTGATTATTATCAGAACTAGACTAATACAAAAAGAGATCAGAGATGTTATCATCTATTAGAATAAGATGAATTATGATCAGACAAAGACAATAGATCAGTTCGATGTCAGGATAAATCTCTTGATGTAGCTAACATTATAGTGTCATCTTTATATGTATTAGAAATAAAATATGACTTTCAAGTTGTATTTTCTGATCAGCTATTTGCGTTCTGTCTTTTATCTCATTATATATCGATTTTCTGGATTGCTCTTGATGAAAGTGAGTCAGAAGTCAAATCCCTACAATGACCGTTTAACAGTTCAACAATCAGTAGATAAAATAAAGAGGTCACCAACTTTAGAAATGTTATAAGCACAAGTATGATTACCCATGTATACTTTATTGTTGGCATAAGAGATACTGAGCTTCTATAAATAGTAACGGATGTTAAAAATCGGGAAATTTGAGTGATCCGTTCCAATGCATGTTGGATTATATTGAGTACAGTGTACATAAAGCGATAAGATGTTTCAGGAGATCACGATTAAACGACTATTAACCACTCTGAATAATTAGATCCGTATGTATTGTATAGGAGACCATTTTATACACATATTTAAATTCTGTGATGGATGTCGCTCGGAAGGTTGGCATTTTCAAGGAACACCTGATGTAACTCTGATACTAGATACTGTACTCAACATCCTTGTACAATTCATTAGACTATTTCAGAAACAGATATCAATCATTGACCTACATCCCAGTCTGTTCAACCGCCAATATATCTGGAAAGTATGGGTCTCTGTAGTAATTTGTGGTGTGATTCGTTAAGTCAATAGTTAATTACAATCATGCAATAACAATTATCTATACTAAATTTCTAAAACTGATAGACCTCAACAGGCTAAAACCAGTATTGGTAATGATTTTTTGAAAGAACTTTATTAACTTAATTATGTATTTACATACCATCTTCAATTTTGTATTGTCTAGGGAGCTATAGTAGCTGTGAAACCAATTCAAAGAACCAATATAACCATAACTAAACCATTATTAATAGAAATTAAAAGAGTAAGTAACTGTTATTTTCACAATATTTAAATATGGCGGGGTATTCTGGAGTCATTTTATATTTATGATCACACACAACTATTATCCTAGACTGTCATTGGTGCTGACGAAAAAAGTCATACATTTCCTGTTTGGCAACAAGAAATGCATACAATTATCTCAATCATCTCTCAGCTACACCGGTAATTTTAGATTTAAAACTCGTCGTCACAATTTCATTACAATAACTTGAAATGGAAATTAACGACCCGATAGCGAAGACAATCTGAAATGACACAGTATAATTTGTTTTGTTTTTTTGTTGAATTGCAAGAAAATCGGAGCTGGGGTTTTAATGTAGAAAATTTCTATGGATACCTGAAAATATCAACTGGTAAAATATTAAGACGGATGAACCTTTTCACTGTCAAAATATAATCAGGCAATTTGCTATTTACATTGGAATTGTTGTCGTTTTGTGATATTTCATAATATATCAGAAAGTAATTGAAATGAGTATACATGACATTATCTATGTATTTTGTAGATGAAAGATTTACAGAATGATCATATCGTCAGACTATCTGGAGCGTGTATTGATCCTCCACATTGCTGTACATTAACAGAATATTGCCCCAAAGGAAGTTTACAGGTAATAGTTGTTGCATGGCTAAACATGTATCCCTTTAGTTTGTAATGTGTTGTAATGCAACATAATGGAAAGCTACAGGCCATGTGATAACAGAATGCTATCGTTAGAAAAGGCTTCGGATATCTCTTATCAATATTGAGAATCGCTGTGTAAAATTATGTTGCACCTAATGTCGAATGTCACGAGTTTCTTGTAAAAAGAAAAACTTGATTTACTACGATCTTTAAATGACATTGAGAAGTAGACAGAACATTTTTATTGATATACTTACTACTCCTTCCTTTCTTCTGGAAACGCTTCCATTGGCAAAAAGAAATCTTAATCAAACATAAAAACAAAAATGATAGAAAACAGAGCAACAAGTATGATATATAAAAATCTGACATCCGATATGATGTTTATGAACAATAGAAAATTGAGTTATATAAGGAGTTGACTAAACGACCTGTTGAACAACAAGTTAACGGTCAATGCACTGGATTTCAGCAGAATGACATAACGCTCTGATTTTGTGATTTTGGTGGATCGATAATTTGTTAAGAAACCGATGATATTGAAAATGATTTTCCATGTTTACAGGATGTGTTAGAAAATGACCAAATTAAATTAGATTGGATGTTTAGATATTCTATAATGCAAGATATTCTTAGGGTATGACTTTTTACTATTTCTTAAAAACCTTTGGTGAAACGAGGACGAGGTGAGAAACGAAACAAAACCATAATCCCAAAAGACAAGCTCTTTTGCATTTGATAGAATTATGACCCCCCCCCCCCCCCTTAGAAAAAGGGTTTCAACCCCTAATCAGTTTTCATCCTAAGTAATGCACCAAATCAATTCAACTTGTCAAAATTTGTCTTAGGATAACCCATTCAGACGATTTGTGCAACATGACGCATCCACGGAGTTGCTTCATTTTCAATTCAGCCTCGATAGTTGTCCCCCATTGAGTAAGTCTGCCCAATCCCAGGAGGCTGGCTACCGGTAGCCTCTACTCTCTATTCTGCCTGACAAACCATGAGTCACATAATAGTTATCGATAGCAATATTTTGAGAGATTAATCGATTTATGTGAAAATGATCAGTCAAAGCTAAATAACGTGTAGCTTAATCAGACGTAAACTATAAATTGATAAGAGTGTGACCACCAACTTCTCGAGGACATTTACCAGTCTACTCATAGAACTTCCAATTAATTATTTAACAATTTGACCGGAAAAATAATTTATTTTACATCACAAGTAGACGTGAGTGAAATTATCTGGGTTACTGCTATACCACTGATAAATGGTGATTCTCTTTTGAGCCTTTCTTGATGAAAACCATACAATTTATACTCATAATTTACAAGATATTGACATTTAAATATTATTGAAATATTAGCTTCGTCCTTATGCACAATAAATTTAACGGTATTTCAAGTTTGTATATCACAAATGATTTTCCACAAGAAACTACGTAGTACCGCTGAACTTCTGATATTTTCATTATTATTTTCCTTAACTTTCAATTTCGGGTTTGTTTTACCTAAAATGTAATTTTCTTGTACATTTTCAAAAAGATTGTCGCTTGATTAAATAGTAGAAATGCCGAAAATAGGCCTTATAATTTGAAATAGGTGCTACGGTTGGACATTCCCACTAAACTATTTTTATTCATCAAAAGCTTGGTTTGTCTTTTTTATCTTTTGGCCATTTACTTTCAGGGCTTATCCTATCTTCATACTAGTGAAATACGTGTTCATGGGAATTTAAAAAGTACTAATTGTGTAGTGGATAGTAGATTTGTTGTAAAAATAACCGATTTTGGCCTAAGATATTTTCGAGAGGTTGAAAAAGAAGAAGAAGACGAATCTTATGCCTTTTATAACAGTAAATAACCTTATTCAAAATTATCAAGCTGTGAATTGGCAATATTACTTGTAATATTTTGCCAAATATGTAATAAACTATGTAATAAACTTAGTATTGAGAATAATGAATTCATGATCCTTTTGAACAGATTGGCGGTTATCATGAAATCCGTACTGGCTCCGTCCGATCACTGTTTTCATGATCTGCAATTATCTAACTTGTAAATTGTCTTGAATGTCGTGGAAGAAATTAGATTGAAATTGGATATGGTCTTATCAACATCGTCTTGAAGGTTATTTGCCTGCAGTGTTCGATTAACGAATATTAGCTTGCAAGTAATTCAATACATACACAGTAAATTATTTTTTATGGAGCAATCGCAAAAAAATACTTTATCTTTCGGTATATGATCACTAGTATTTGAACTAATTATAACAGGTTTATTGCGTTAAAATGCTATATTTCAATCGAAAAATGTGTTTCTTATTTCAGAAAAATTGTGGACAGCTCCTGAGATATTGAGAATATCTACAAAAAATCCCTGTGGTACACAGAAAGGCGACATTTACAGCTTTTCTATCATTTGTCAAGAAATTGTTTATAGAAATGGTGTATTTTATTTACATAATTTAGATCTTAGTCCCAAAGGTAATGTTCTTATTTAGTTTTGTTTGCAGATCATACTGTAGGAATGTTTTGGAGAATACAGGTTTGGCATTTGAAATTTGAAATAAAAACAGTTTAATTGTATTTGGATCTCTGTTTGTATCCTCGGTGATTCGTATTGACATACGGAACAAAAACCTTCTTTAAGGAGTGGGAACATAATTCAAGCCTATCATTGAATGACCCACCTCAAAGGAACAACACAATCGAGCTGACAATTTATTAATATAGATATAAAACTTGGTAGTGTTTATTGTCACAATCTTTACCGTCTTCATTACCCCAAATAAGTTGCAGACGAGTAGGACGTAATTCCTTTAGTTCAATTTCTGCAAGGCTGTAGCTTATAAAAAGCTATTCGGCTATCTATTTCCAGAAATTTATGTCAAAGTTAGAAATGGTTTGAGACCATATTTCCGACCCACATTAGATGACTATGATTGTCCTAGTGATGAGTTAGCTAATATAATTAGAAGATGTTGGGCGGAAGATCCAGCAGAAAGACCTGATTGTCAAGCCTTAAAGTCACTTATAAGAAAACTAAATAGGTATGGATATACGTATATTGCAATATCGACTTATGGAGCAAATTTGGATAATTTTACGTCAACATGGAAACATTTTATGATTATCAAACTGCCATTACTACAAACTGAGAGGATTTAAAAGAACTTGTCTGGCTTTTGTCTGTGTAGCATAACATTTATGGTTTCTAGTGGCTCCATTCCAATTCTTCTGTGAACCCGTGATTTTAATAAAGCGGTATTTATTATATAGATTATTACGTCGTTATCGCAAACGGTAAAGATCATTTTGCTTCTGAATGGTTCAAATAGAAGCCTTAAGTGTACCAAATAACTATACGAAGACTGGAAGCTTCTATAAAATCATTCATGTGAAATACAGAACTTACTTAAACCCTTATGTCTCATGGACAATGTACGTGATAGACTTCTAATAATTACTATATATCTTCTAATGTCTGAAATGATACCTCTTTACATAACCTTCCAAGGGAAAATGTCGTGTTTAAGTCTATATTTTTTCAATTTAATTTTCATTCAGAGACGGAGATAAAGGGAATATTTTAGATAATTTATTGTCCCGAATGGAACAATACGCTAATAATTTAGAAGCTTTAGTTGAAGAAAGAACAGCTGATTATCTGGAAGAAAAGAAAAAAGCTGAAAATCTTCTATATCTTATGTTACCAAAGTAAGGATTTTACTAGACTCAATCTGGAACAATAAAAGTCGTTTTCAAACATTAAAATTCATTTTCGTACATGTCCCAATGTTGGCCATGGCGTTGTCCTGTCATTAGTCACACTGAAGGTCACACGACTTAACATGGTCATTTCATTAATATTTTCATTCTCGCTTTTCGTAAAAATTTGATTTTATTTTGCCAGAATGTCAAAGCTCGAACTTCACTCAAGAAATTTAAGAATTTAATTAGTTAGTTTCCTTGGTTGAAAAGAAAAATATTGTAAAGTTCAATTGAACACATTTCTGGTATTTACTTGCAGGCCGGTTGCTGGTCAACTGATTCGTGGTGAATCGGTAGCAGCTGAAACTTTTGACCAAGTTACCATATATTTTAGTGATATTTGTGGGTTTACTGCTCTTTCGGCAGAAAGTACACCAATGCAGGTAATGGCTTTGGTCATTTTCTGGCTATTCTAACTTCACCTAACTAACACGTGCCAAATTGGTTTTGAAATATATGGGTGAAAATTTTGAATGCTTCAAATCAATATTTAAATACCTTATGATTCATATTTAAAAGCTTTTGCTTCTTATGCCACGCCACTTCCTTGTGGCTCGTTTAGCCTTCAGATTCAGCCATTCAACATCAAAACCTATGATTAGTATACCTAAATAGGAGTAAATTAGTAGCCAGAGAAACACGATATATTAAAGTCAATCAGTCGATAATTCTTCTATAGGCAATATTTTAGAACCATTTGTGTCTAGCTCATTACTAGTTGTCCACTAAAATTATACTACTGAATATGAAAATTAGATCATTGTATACTTCAAAGAGTAATATTCCTTAAATTAACTATTCCAACGTGAGTTTTTTCTTTTGAAGTTTTTCAGCCCTGTCCGTATCTTCACAATGTCAAGCTTACAATCGTCGTCTTATACCACCTTTCTGTATCGCGGAATGCAATGATTTTTGATTGGTTTGTTCGCCATGGAAGAACAGCCAATCTGGGTTTCGGCAGACAAACTGTATCGCTTTTACATACTTTCTGTTGAGTTTGTATTCGCAAGTGTACTATCCAAACAAAATTGCCGCTTTTGACACAAAACAGGTGACTATTGAAGTCAAGGTATAAGACGAGGTTTGTAATTACTTTATAATGTAAAGATGCCCTGTTGGCGACTTTACAGAAACATAAATTATAATTTTAGGTTGTGAATTTGTTAAATGATCTTTACACAACGTTTGATTCTATCATAGAAAACTTTGATGTTTATAAGGTAAATTGGAACCCAATTAGCTGTTCATGTTGTGTATTTACTATTATCTTAAAGTTCTGATTTTTCTAAAAACCAGCGTGAGAATTGCAATTTACACTTCAAGTTCCATCGATCATTAATGCGAGCTTTTTCTTATACAAGTCAGAAAATTAAAGGACTCTTGTAAATAACATTATACTATCAGAATGTTTTTTCGTTCGATTATTCTCCTAAAGAAACTTGTTTACCTCCCTTTTGTTCACAAAATTGAGACAAAACCCTTAAAACCCTGAAGCTCCTGAGAATAAAATGACTGCTATAACGACTTTTTGTTTTTACAATTTACTTTATATTTACAGGTTGAAACAATAGGTGACGCTTACATGGTAGTGTCTGGACTTCCAGTTAGAAATGGGAACTTACATGCTCGGGAAATATCTCGTATGTCGTTAGCGTTATTAGACGCTGTTTTATCATTCCGTATTAAACACAGACCAGATGAACAACTGAAATTACGTATTGGCTTACATACAGGTAAAATAGGGCCTAAATCCTTCATAGTAAACATTTCAAAGACCCAACTAATGTCAAAGACAGGCATACACATATATCATTCAGGTTCCGAGGTAATATTTGAAAGGTTACAAGATTTTCGGCCACAATCCAATTCCTCAACACTTCAACCTATTGAGCCAATGATCTCCATTCCACTAGAACTGTAATAGATTTTGACGTCACTATCGCAAATGACAGAAGGCCAAGTGGTGTCCGCTATATTGATATCGCTATATCGTGGAATACGTGGCAGATTTGTAGCCGTTCGTCGTAAAAGATCACAAATAATTAATTCAAATTCTCACTTATTATTTACATTCACAATGTATTATGGCTCAATCAGTTTAATCAAATACACATTTTCCTACAAATAGATTATGATATAAGCGTTTTGTTGATTGATAAGGCATAATTATTTTCCTATAATTAACTTTATGTCCAGACAAATCAAGTATAGGAGATTATAAACCTTCCTTTAAACTAATAAATTTCTCTTTTTCTATCACTTTTCTTAAAATACCAAAGCCAGTGTTATTTTAAATGTCTGACGAAATTATTATCCAATAAATTACGGATTCTGAAATGGAGTTTCAATTCCAACAAACTGAAATCCATCTTGTCTTAATCTATTACCTGTCCACTCAAAGTTGATGAATGGGAAATAACTCCTTCTGTATTTCTGATCCTGTGGCCGACCAAATAATTCTCTCGTAATAGTAATTACTGACTCCGGTAACTCGGTTGCCATCTGTTCTGTTAAATCTCGAAATTCAATCTACTATTTGTATCAACATCAGCTTGACTGTCACTGCACACAATTTTAATGCATCTAGACCAAAAATAGGCATACAAAAAACCCAAAAGGGGAAGAGAAAGAAGACAGTCATTTGCATAAAAGGTAGGTCATCAGCAAGAGGAAGCATTGGTCTTCCAGTGATGACAACTGAACTTTTATTTCGTAAATAACCAGATTTTGGCCGGAAATGTCGTGATGGATTCCACATTGTCTCTGAAATTGTCAAATGCAGCGATGTTAACAAAATAATTCAGGTCCTGTGTTTATCTTAAAGTAAAAATGTAACTGTTTTAGGGTTCGTGGTGGCTGGTGTTGTTGGGTTAAAAATGCCTCGATACTGCTTATTTGGTGATACAGTTAATACAGCTTCTAGGATGGAGTCCAATGGATTACGTAAGTGATATTCATTCATATTTGATAACCCTTTAACGAGAGCACCTTTATAGGTTTAATAGATGTTGTTTTTGTAAAAATATCTAAATACCAACTGTTTAATGCAACTGATAAAATATTTACACCTAATACATAAATCCTTTATTAACAATATGTATACATGATTACTGTATCAGGTACCCGCTTCTCACCACAAGAGAGCGATCTTCCTACGTTGTTTGACCGAGAGTGGCCAAATGTAGGCGGAGGTTGACGAAGGGAGCCACGGGAAACCGAAAGTAAAAGATCTTCGGACTGTCAAATTTGCTTATGAGTCCATTTTCCACGGTGACGGTCGACGTTCTCCGAGGGTCGGTAATCGAAAAAACAGCATCCGTAACATTAGCCATAAACAATTTACGAGGAAAGAAAACGATCATCTGCAGTTTCCATATGGTTTCATTTCGCGAGTTTCATTTGGATGACCTAGAACCTAGTCAAGTTCAGAGCTGGTCTCTCCAGCTGTGAAGTTAATGTTTGTCATTATATTTAGCCTTTGGGCTATTTTCTCAATAGGAAAGAATGTCTGGAAAGATTAATATATCAATCCTTTCAGGATGTAATTCCACAAAAAAGTATAGAAAACTGATAAACTACATTTGAGCACATTATTAAACCCGACTTAATAAACCCGTTTTCCGACTGAGAATCGATTATGTTGATATTTGCTGTGATTTGCTAATTAATTCATAAGGTTTTGGCGTACATTAACGAAAAAGATGTACAAGATAGGTTATATAGCATGATAACCGTAGACAAAATTGTAAAAGGATTAATAATACTTTTTAGAGGTTTAATTATTATTTTCGGGGAGATTGTTAGTAAGAATATAGGATTGTTAAAAATAACCAACGGTCTACCTGGTGACCGGAAGTTCTCCATTACATTGACGTCATATTATAGTTGGTTGATCAAATCAATATTTTATGACTAATAGTTACTAACAATGATTCCAAAATGTAGATCCATTTTTGTAACGGTCGTTCTTGGCAAGGTGAAAAATTGTTTGTTATGATAAAAATCAATATTATCTTGATGCCTGTGGTGTATTGCATGTTATATTCGCAACATAATCTTTAAACAAACAACATATCAATTCAATATTTTATTTCTTTATATCGTGAGGTTACCAGCTTCATAATAACTTAGTATAGATAATATGCATTAAGTTTCAAAATCTCATATAGACTTTTTCTGTATTTGTATTAACATTTAAGCATTGAGTTACTAAGCTATATGTATTCCAGAGTGCCAAAAGATCGTTTTTGAAATAAAGTTATTCTTAAAATCATTCTGAAAATTTTGGACGAAGTGAATGAAGATGTTCTATATCGTAACATTTTCATACGACGGTAACTTTAGAATCTACATTACCCTTATGAAGTGTCCAGTTTCACAGTCGAAAGTGCAACCATGATTTTCCATAATGAATGGAATTGACCAGAATTGGTGCTTGTTTAAACCTAGTTTATTAATATATAATTCGTTTTATCATTATGTATCCTGCCTTCTCCAATATAAATAATTAAGAAGTACAAGATCATTGAGCATCCATGATCAATATGTTATGCGACTGCCGGGGTTTTGTTAACTTTATAATATATCTCGACGATTTTTATTCATTACAGCATTAAAAATTCACATGAGTACACAAACCAAAGAAACCCTTGATAATTTTGGCACATTTGAAGTGGAATTGAGAGGCCAAATAGATATGAAGGTAATATAACATAGAATATATTTTCTTATTATATTTTGACATTGAAATTGCAAAGCTGCCAAACCCGGTAGGACAATGACATTCAGGGTTTTCGGAATGACCTGAATCTATGGCAACACTTTGTAGAGCCCAGTTTGATAGTCATTGGATTCGGAGAATAAATTGAAGAAATGATTCAAATGCAGGTTCTGTTTGTCTCCTACTAAGACAAATCTATTGATTATAACCCATGGAAGTGGCGGGAGCAGGCTCTGACCTTTGGCAAACAGAAATATTAAGGCATATCTTCAGTTTTTCTTATCATATAATTCAGTAGTCGGCAGAAATAAAGCTTAGTCAGCATCTAACAAGCTAGAAACGGTATCATCAGCATCACCGTGAGCCTATAGCTTTGTCATCGTGCTACCGTCATCCCTCTGAAATTACGTGCTGTATCATTTAACAACTTTATTTCCTTTCAGGGAAAGGGTACACAGACCACATATTGGCTGTTAGGAGAAAAACAAAGCAACGATAACACGGCTGGTAATCTTGGTATCTTATGACCCAATAAATCCAAAGAACAATTATCATTGTAATGATATTCAAGTGGAATGCAAACTCTGATGAAGACAAACTTGGAGTGGAAGATATTGAAGTGCTATTGACTTATTCACTAATTAATATACGCAACCTATATTGTCTTGGATTTATAATAGTGAACCACTTATGGCATGTACTTTATCTTATGGAAGCCACATTATTCATAAGGCGACAGTTATCCAAAGTAATGGGAAATAATAATTCAATCCAAAGAAAAGATGTCATAAGAATAATGCTATGAATTGTGCTATGAAAGAACCCTTGATTTAAAATTCGAAACCGATATGTGATGCCAATATTCATCTTCACATCGGCACGTTTTTTTCATTTTGTTTTAAAGTTTCTTAACCATTATCACGACTCCGTAGTATATTTTCATCAATTCATTTATATTTATCGCCTCGACAAAGAACTTCAAAGAAATTAAGAAAAAGTTAAAAGAGACTTGGGAATCATGACATGTCTAGTGAACAATCTTGTTTTAAGTATATTTTTTTCTTTTCCTTGTTATTCATTTATACCTTATAAACTATTAAATATGACCTATTTTTACTTTTAATAATCAAAATGGCTAAAACCGCTATTAATTTCTGGACAACAACTCGAGGGAGTCATCAATTGCGTCAACGAGTGGAAAATAGCAGTTGTCTGGAGTTTTATATTATAAAAATTACATTTTTTTATTTTCGAACATAGCGCTCTTAAACTGTGACCATCTAGTTTTGATTCTGTCAATTGCGACGGATCCAATGGGGAGCTTTGATCGTATTTATAAAAATAATACGAAACTACATAACATTTCGTAGATTAAAAAAAACAGACAATGCCAGTTATGACAATGCCATGTGGTACAAAGATTGTCGATTCCACTTTGAGTTCGCATAGCTATATTTTGGCAATTTTAATCTTGTGTAATGGTATCTTCTATTTATCAGTCCTTAGTCCTTGATAGTCCGGATAGTTCATATTTTAATTGGAAATCAATTCCTATAATTACTGGATTTCTAGTACACATCAAAAATGTGTTATGTAACAAGCTACATTCATATGTATTGATCCCAATTTAATGATTTTGAAACGGTTTTCTTGTTTGCAATCTATTTATGTACAGTGATTGTTTGTTTCAATTATATCCAAAAATTTGAAGGAACCAAAACTTCTGCCAAATTAAAGCCTGTACACACCCAAAGCGAATATGACACGTGCTTTTTCCACACACGATTACAATTGCGTATCTAGACAAGCAATAGACTGGATTTCAATGAATGATATATTATTTCGTCAGGATAAGCGCACATTGCTTCATGAAACCACCACTTAACTTGTATAAGGAACGCACATGCCTGTCTGTTTGATAACAAAATTAAATTCAACATTCTGGCCTTTCTACCTCCAGACCAATTTCTGTTTAACCTGCCCTTGCTCATATAGATCTTAAGATACAGTCAATCGCACTTACCATCATGTATAGAGCTATTTAGTTATAAGCAGTTCGTTTCATTAGAAGTTGAGAATTATGTTGCTCTGCAACACTTTATAATCTTTTTTGAGTGGCAAAGTTCTAATGAAATGATATACATAAGTAACATTCAAATTTTCCTCACAACTTTTACGTGAACGAACGAAACCACATTTGTTTCTCCTGCGCAGTTAGAAAATCGGCACAAAACCTATGTATTAACGCTTTCGTGTATATTGAATTTTATCACCAGTGATTCCAAAATATTGCGTATTAATAAAACGTTTTTATTGTTATTTGAATTATAGATATTTTTTGTTATTTTATTATACCTGTGAGATACCGAGTGTTCATTGCTCAAAATAAATAAACATATACCGCTATAACTGTATTTTTACTTATTTATATGCAGTCTTTGGAGACCATATCTTATTTAATATTTGGTCACAAAAAACGGCACAAGGGACACTCGGAAAATACTTTGAGCAGTAGTGGAGAAGCAGCATTACTGGATGATATACACATCTCTTACCTTTGCCAACAATCAGTGCTTTTTGGCCATTATATTCACATTCCAGATGCGCTAGATAAATTCGATATTCAATTCATCACTTCAGTTCAAGTTCTTAATTTTAATTTGTGCATGAAGTTGTACTTGGGACGTAAACAAAGTACGTGTAAATCTATACTTTGTGTTAAAAAATCCAGGGATTGAAGGCTCAGCAGAATCGAAGAGGCTCGCTCTTTGAAGTGATGAAGTATTCCTCATTTAAAGATAAAATTGATACACGCGACGTTTTAACCCTTAATCATGTAATCTGTACAGAATTAAAACTCAGGTCCACAGGACTTGAATGCAAAATTAGAACTGGTTCTATTTGTAGGATGCAATTGAAGGCCACTTCGACACTAAGGTCACAATTGGATATAGAATTTCTTGGTACTTACTGTAGACGTTGAATTGATGATTTATACTGATGTACATAATAACATAGTCAAAGTTTTGGAATCTTAAACACACTGATCAGAGCCAATTATTGAAGCATTCAAAAAAAAACTTTCAAGGGAGATAATCACAATATTGTATAAATAAATAAATAAATAAATAAATAAATAAACCAAATACATCCGAACAGTAAAACGAAATCCAAAATAACATAATTCTAGATGATCTCTTATATCCCAAACGATGGAAATGATTGAATGAGATCAAAACCGATAAAAATGAACACTTAATTAATAATTTATTAATTATATAGATAAGTTTGTCTGTTAGTGCCCCTCATTTCACATCCGCTTCTAGACTAAGATTAACTGTCCCAGATACACCTAATGTATGTAACATTAACATTTGTGACATAAATTATTTTCATAATGTACATTATAGTAGTGAAAATGGGTAAAACCATGCGGAAACTTAGCACAAGTTAACAAAACTTGTATATAGAGACAAAAATGGTTAAATCTCACAGCGCAATAAGTTTCAGGCAAACGGGGCTGCTGTGGCCGCCGGAAAGTTTCTTTTCCTTTTTCAATTAATACCCTTTGCTATCCGGAATAAATCCGAATACTTTGATTTAACGCTCTGAAGCAAACATTAGCATCAATCGATAATACTGTCAATTGGAGGCAATCGTAAGGCATCATAATAATACACGGATAAAGCAAGGAACATTTGGTTACTTTATTAGTGAATATAAAGTTTAATAGATAAACTTCATTAGTCGTTCTTTTAATTTGCGAATCAGTCAGTTTTCTTTATAACCGTCACATCTTATATAAAGCTTATTGATCTTTTTTTTTATAATTGAGTATATAAACTCACTTGTTCATTAATTCTAAGATATACTTCATTGCTCGGAATATGCTTTACGATGACTTTCAACAAAATGATAATGTTTATTTTGCCATTGTTTTGGGAAATTTCGTTAGCCGATTCCAGATACCAAGCGACAATTTGTTCCATTATTGTCAACAACACACGGTTACCGTATGATATCCAGCGTTCAGGGCCAGCTTTGGATATGGCGTTGGAATTAGTGCAAGAGAAGTACAATGAAACTATTGCATTTAAGTATATTTACCGTGATGGAGGGCCAGCATGTGGACCAACTGTAGCGGGATACACTGCAGCAGATGTATTTTATTCTCAAAATGTTTCTGTATTCATTGGTCCAGGTAAGATAACCGCTTCAATTACATAATATAACAGTAGAATAAAATATGGATGTCGAACGCAAAGCAAACCATGCTTACTCTTTTCGAAACACCTGAGAAGTCCACTACTTTACAATTATTGCTCTCGATTTTGTCATGCTCATGAGATATTGGATACAGGATTTGTTTTGTTTTTTCTTGCCTCTTCGAATTTTTTTATTGTTTTTGTCTATGTCTATATCAATATATTATTCATTAAAAAATACTATGCCACAATTTCCTTTCTCTAAAAGAGATGACGACGAAAACAGACACACCATCTGTAAATATATGAAAGTCAAGAAACAAATCTTACATATCACGAGCAGAGATTCCATTTACAAGAAATTACCTTCAGGCAACAAAATAGAAGAAAAAAACTTCGTCGAATATATGTAAACCTTGTAAAATCAGAAAAATAGTATCTTATTGTTTGCTAGCAGATTAAATTGTGTACATTTTTCATGGCATAATTATTCTATGATTTCTGTACTGATGAAAATAATACACAAGTTATACAAAGTCATAACAAAAGACTATTGTTCAAATACGCCCACTGATGAAAAAATGATTGTAATCAGCAATCGTAACCAAGAACAAATTAATCTGTATTAATGGTAGCTGGAATGGATGGCGGGTAAATAAAGAGTAATTTTTCGCAATCTGGAAGAGGGGGCTGACCCCATAGTAAAACCACTGTTCGTTATTACAATAACAACCCATCCAGTAAGAAATGGCGTGGATAATCTGGAAAATCATTGTCCATTGAAAGCCAGTAAAGGGGATCCTATTTGGATTCGGCATATCTAACATCTTTTCCTATTTACGGCTGGATCAACTGGAATAATAAAGACAAGTGCCTTTGACGTTTGAAGACGTTCGCACGCCTTTCAAGGTTGGAACCTACGGTCACTCAATAACATGACTTTTTTATTGTTTGGCACTAATGAATGAGAACAACATTGTATTCAAAGATCTTCACCATTCTCCGTTTAACGACCAATAAACGCACTAAAACCTTGAATCCTTAAAACATTCTCATTTAAGTTCAAGATGCCTAATACGCATTTCTTAAGTATCTCAAATGTCACGCAGTCAATATTATTGCGGGCATAAGCTACAACACTTTACAGTAAAATTCAATTCCTACCATTGAAATAATGCATTCTTCTTTGTATTGTAAAAAATTCGTATTTACTTTATATACGCCATTAAACCGTATTTACATTATCATTAACCCAGTGTTTGAAGATAAATAATCACAGAGGGTCAACGTACCATTTGAAATATAGTACTACTACGTTCTTGCTTAAACGGATTCTGTATTTCGTAATAAAACATTAGATCTAATCTACATGTAATTCATTTACTTTGCAAAATTATTACAGTTTCTGACTATTATTTTCATACGTCCGATTGTCTGAATTCCATATTTAGAAAATATGATATTGGGTTATGATAATTACAGAAGGATAATCGAATTCCTAACTTCATATATTTGTCGATATAGTTTCACAAGTTTTTTTTCATAAAAAAACCCTCAAATTAATGTCCATCATCCATCAACCCTATTCTTTTATCTCAAAAGGTTCCCATAAAAACAACTGTGAAAGGAAATTGTTTTGACCTAGATAAGCCGTTAAAAGTAATCTGCATATATATTTTCAGTATAACAAAAGATTTTAAGCCCAAACTAATCGATGGTGTTTACCTGATAGCAAACTTTTTCTTAACAAAAACTAATTTAGATCCGATATTGTCTGGATATATCACTTTAGTTATACAGTTTAATGTTACGTTGATCGTTAATCTTTAATTCTAATTCCATCTATTATATGTCACTGGAGTAATTTGGCTCTGAGGATGACGTTATCAGACAAAAACTTTCCGGGACAAAAATCAACATTTTTATTCAATGATGGCAACCAAAGTGTAATTTCATTCAGATGTTCCCGAGCAAAAATTCTTGACCATGGTCATTGTCAATGGGATTATTTCCAAAAGTACAACCGAGTCAACTTGAATTGTGAAAACACTGAAAATATGTTCAATCAAATGTGCCATTCAAGTACCTATTTTATTTTTTATATAACTGAAAGTAAACTTGAAGGGATTGAAAAGAGGTTTTCTTAACTTTTATGTATCGGGACGATTTTTGAATTTCTATGTTCATTACTTCATGTCATGATTTAAACAAAACTGACCATAGGGCATAGGATACTTTGGCATGCTAGTTCAGATTGAAGACAAAGTACACAGTTATTAAGTAATCATCTCTACAGTTTCTGATTTTGAAAGCTAAATTAGTTCTTAATTGGGACAAATTACTAGACCAAAAAGAACTTTTGTAACATCGACAACAGTGTGGATTCTTTTAATATTATTTTACAGTCGTTGAAAATAGTTGTACCTGCAGTTCGGCAACTCGCTATTATACAAATTTAATTAATATTTAATTATAGATAGAAATAGTAATCTCACAGTATGATTCCTCTCTTCCTTTATGTCTTGTTGATGTCCCGTTAATAAGGTCTTTATGAGAGTAATATTACCTTAGATATAATAAATTATCATTAAACAGTTTTTCTCCTATTACAATACTTCGTGAGCTTTATTTCAATTTGTAGGAGCTGGCAATCTTTTTTAAAAAGTTTGTTTAAATTACCATAGAATCCAAATTTAACTTTCTTTTTGGACTAATATAGATATTTCAAAATTTATCTTATTATTAACTGAACAAAAGCCTTACAGATAAATCAGATTTGATTGATTTTTGTTGTTGTTGCAGGTTGCAGTTTGGCAGTAGAGCATATGGCGTATTTGGCGTCTAAATGGAATATCCCAGTAATCACTCCAGCTGGTTCTGCTGGTATTTTGGCGGATAAAACCCTTTTCTCCACGCTTACTAGACTGTCATTTGGTATGCAGGAATATGCTGCGTTTTATTTGAAAGTCTTTCAAATATATAAGTGGACACATATATCTCTATTTTACGAAAGTGATGACGTGTTTTCCGGAATTATTGGCAACACATTTTTTGAAATATTTCGTAACACAGAACTCAACTTAGTTCACTATGAAATTTTTGGACGAACCTTTTCCGACTCTGATTATGAAAACCTTCTCAGTAAGGCCAATATTTACTCAAGAGGTACGGTATTAGCTTTTCACATATTTACCCACCACATAAGCAATACTAGCTGTAGTTATAAGTTGCATGGTGGTTTTTAGCATCGTGACCAAAAACCAACAGAATGTGGAACCGATTTTTGACAACTTCCTAATGCTCTGATGATTGTACATGTTCACTTGCTCGATCTATTGATATGGCCATTCTAGTTAGTAAAAAATGAAACACCGTCTACAGCTATTGATATCAACTATACCGTCGTCATCCGATATGCCAAGCACTTCTACAATCTGGGAGCTTATTGATACCATCACTACCAATATGACTGGCGTGTTTATTTATGTAAATATTTGGCATTTTCAATCCTCTTCCAGATACTATAGATGATAATATATTTTATGCTTTTTTGTCGTAGTGTTCGTTGTATTAGCCACACCCACAACAACTAGACAGGTCTTACTGGCAGCACATAAACTTCAATATACAAATGGTGACCATGTTTTTATAGCGACTATTCCTGTGAATTATAAGTTAGATATCTGGCAAAGAGGGGACTCACAAGATCAGGTATGGTGTTCTTTGCAGTCGGAAATGTAAGTTGGTGTAACATGTTCCTGTGGCGTGGAACTTGAAACTTATACTGCAGTGCCTTGAGTCGCAATTTGAAACCACGATTTCCTGAAACCAGATTCTTTATTATTGTCACTATAATAAGCTGTAAGTTTGTTGTAAGGTGTTAACTCATTTTTTATTTCTTCGCCAGAGATATTTGAAGTGGCTTGGTCTGGTATCGATGATAGTCATGATTAAGGGTCTGAAATTTCACTCTCTTACACTGTTTCTTAAATAAAGTTCTTAAGAATTTTGTTGCATTGATATTGTTTTTTTTTAGGATGCCAAAAAGGCTTGTGAAAGTTTAATGGTCATTGCCTTATCTGAGTCATTTGATTTGGAGTATAAAAATTTTAAAGATAATTTAAAATCTAGGGCAATTAGAGATTATGGATTTAATTTTGGTAATGAAGAGGTTTGTTAAATCTAAAATACTATTGATAATTCCTTGCTAATGAACTAATTTTATTGATATGGAAATGCTCTGGAATACTGTATATAGATTACATTTTTGTGACCATCACTTTTTATTGTTAAAATGTGAACTACGATTTGACAGTTGGTGAGGGCGACAGATCTGTATAAGAGAACAGAAGCTTTATCAAACAAGCGATATCATGTTCATATTTTAATTGTTTACAAATTTCTATTCTATTAATTATTCATTGCCAAAAGATCAAAAGATTTTTAAGACAAGTTTATTTTTATTTATGAGTCCAACTATGTATCACCCGATGGAAAGACTTGGTTTATTTGCACGTGTCAGTTCTAGATCTCTGTGTAAAATGTTCAATAACTACAGTTATTAATATTAGACCAAACTTTCGTTGCCTTTGTTTATTAGCTTTATTTTCGTAAAGCCCCTGGAACGTTCGTCAAATTAACCTTTTGACCCAACCTGATAAACACCGCGTCACAAAATGCCAGCGCTTGAGAAGGTTGAAAGCTGATTGGTTAAAGGAGACGTCATCGGGCTAAGTCAAAATTAATTTGAAGTTAAGTTGACGAACGTCAATGATCCTAATTGAAGTGGCTGTATTAAAATAAAAACTAATAAAAAACGGAAGTATACTATAATACTAATTATAATAATTAGACTGGAATAACTATTTTGTATACACAGAAATAAATGTGTACTATCTTCATTATTTTTGTAGCCAAGTGTGTTGTTAGCTGGTTTTTATGACGCTGTAGTGATATATGCGCACATTTTAAATGAAACATTAGTTGAAGGAAGCAATCCATTGAATGGCTCGGATATGTTTGGCAGAATGAAAAACCGAAATTTTCAAGGTTATATCATTGAATTTATTTATCTTTCTTTTCTTTCTGAGAAAATCATGTTCTTACAATCATCGGATTTATGCTCCATCTCTTAAGCAACAATAGTTTTGTTTTAAACATAGCTTTCACAAACAGTATTTGCAACCACAGCCAAAATCAGCACTAGCAGCTGTTAACACCATCATGAGTGGTCGAGGTTAGGTGCCGGATTTACGATACTGATGAAAATAGAAGAAGTTATTTGTGTCCAGATCCGTGTCTCGTGTATTCTCGTCTTCTATCATATAACTGTTTGATAATTCTAAACCATGTACCCCATGGAAACACGATCGTCGTCTATTCGCACTCTAAGGAACGAACGCTGACCACGGTGACGTTTTATTTTTGCTAGTCTGATTGTATTCGCCAGCTCATTCTAACCGTTTCTGAAACTGTATAATATTGTAGTTGTTTATTAATTGACCTCACAGAATCCATGCATGTGAAACGATGCTCATGGTTTCATTAATTAGAAGGATCTTTAGCTTAATCCCTGATAATTATAATGTAGGTATTGGTGGTAAAATATCGATCAATAATAATGGTGATAAATACACAGATTTTATTATATATGATTTACAGCCGGATACGGGGATATTTGAAGTAAGTATTAGATGATTATATGTTAAAAGTATTAGTATAGTCTGTTTCATATTAATGGAATTGTAAAATGTAATATGAAGTTCAATTCAAAAAGGATTTAGAATAGTTCAAATGTCATTGACATTGGTCATTTAAGATACGGTGTAAGTCAGCGAACCAAAAATGCCTTCTTTTCATTATATCAAAACAATATCAACCAATATGGTAACCCGAACAATAGATCGGTTTCATTCCGATGCCAAATCTAAGGGTAACGCGTACTAACGTAAAAAAGTTTTTTTTAAATGAGACAAAATCTACTCTTACAAGACGGTGCGGTACAAATAGCTCGATAACAAGTAATTGGTACCATTTTCTGGCAAAATATTTAATTTCACATTGAACTGAGTTTTGATATTTTTTCAAATATTTTTTTTGATTTTGTGTTTTTTGTGTATTAATTGCATTTAATAGCTTTTTTCTAATATAAACAATATGGTAAACGAACCTCGTAAGACACAAGCAAGCAATTACGAGATTAAGCTAAATTTGAACGGAGGATTCGTTATCAATTATTTTTCTTTTCGAGATAGGTACGTTGATGGAATTCAACTCGTCTTATTTCAGGTAATTGGTAGTTACGATGGAAAAACGAAGCAATATATACCAGATCCTGATAAGTCTATTCATTGGCCAAGTGGCAAAGGTCCTCCACGAGATGTACCACAATGTGGATTTAAATTAGACCTATGTGAAGCTGAAGGTATGCCAGTGGGTGTTTCCTATGATTCAGAAATAATTTCTATTCAGTGTTCCAGAATTCAGGTCCGTTCACTCTTAACGCAGTCGCCATTTACCATCGCCTGTGAATCCGAATCCGTTCGCCCCTAGTTCATGTTCGCCCTGATGTTTGCTAGCTCTTCTTTCGTTCGTTCTACCTGTGATAACTCAATGTATAAATTAAAAAAAAAATGTTGTCAAATTTATTCCCGACCATACCAGATTGATCCATTGAAGTGATAAATGACCTGGCAGATTACCGCCGGAAAGAAGTACACTGTACAAGTAATTGAATCTTTAAATAGTTCGGAAGTGATCAGATAGCTATTTTAATAAACAATATCTAATCGATCTCTTATAAAGATTGATATTGTTGTTTATTCTTTCAGATCAGTCAAGGTTGATGATAATCGGTTTGTCTTCCGGATTCTCAGCACTTCTTTTGATTACAACAGCTATAATGATCATTTGTTATGTGTGAGTATTTACATCGATATTGACCATCCAGTTTCCCTCGTTGTGAATCTAAATCGTTGCTAATAAAATATTTGTGTGTTGTTCCCTTTTGTATCTTGATGGCTAAATGAGAAAATGAATGATAAACTTTTCAGGGCCGTGCACGTTCAAGATCAATCCACACTTGGGGCAACCTTCATCAGCCCGCATGTACCTGGCACGAAAGATTTAAAACACTTTTTCTAAAACTAGAACTGACTCAGTTTGATGTAACCCAGAAATGATCCACGTTTTATGGATTACCATTAATATGATTGATTGTCGATTTATCCAATTAAAATTCTACTACCAATTGTATTCTTTCACTTCATTAAAACATTTCGGTCTAATGAAATTTTAAATTCAAGATTATTGTGAGGATTTAAATATTTAATTTGAATAATATAGTAACTATTGCAGCTATGAGTATTTTGACAACAGTTAGACTTGGGGCGAATGAATACAATTATTTTCTTTTCTGTATTGATATACAAAGTAGGTTGCTAGGCAAGTTAAATGCCAATTAGAATATCTATATTAGTACATAAAATTTTACAGACGATGGAAGAAGAATTCAGAGAAAGATATTTGGTGGTGGAAGATTCCGAGAGATGAATTGGTGTTGGTTAACCATGGGGGTTATAGTAATTCCTTTATATCATCTCATTCCAGGGTCGGTGTCATTCTGCTTTATTTTGTATCTGACTAAGACTTTTCCAAAAAACTAGTTAAATATATCACCTTATTATGTGTAATCGTTTGTTCTGATATATCCCGTAATCACGCATTCCCATAATGCTTTTTATTCTAAAAAATAGACGAAATAATCATAAAAAAGTCATTTCTGAAAGATAATGATGCAAGCTGATACATTAGAGTCACAAGATGAGTTCGTGCTCAAACAACTGGCTAATTTGATGCTGCCTTTGTTGTTTGTAATATCGTGTTACTTTTCAATAAGGATATATGATTTATGACTTTGATCAGACTATTTTGTGTTTCAGAGAAGTTCTTTAATGAGTGAAACCATGACAGGCACTGAAATTCACGTGGGCATAGCTAATTATAAGGTATACTTATATTTCATGTTTATAACTGAAGAAAGAAACGAAAACATTTTCATGCTGCTGAATCAAGGCTATCGATGATCATTTTATGGTGTAAATTTGTCTATAACACACTTTACAGTGTTTTTGAAATTATTTATACGTCAATTGAGTAACTATAGCATGTTCTGATAATAACACGCAATTAGATTTCATAGTCGAAGGCTGGCCAAGGGTATACCCATACCATAATACCATAGCTCATTTAAGGTCTGTATGGTCTTATTATGATTTATGCTTAGAAATTACCTAAAGGTGACCATAGTTCTATGAATTATGTACTTACAACATGTTGATGTTTATACATTATTTGTGTTATTACACAAATTATTGGTTTCATTCTTAGAATACATTTACATTTATTCTACACTTTTTTCATTGACCATTAGGGGGTCACCGTACAACTCCGGGAATTGGATATTAAAGAGGTTGCCGTAACTAGTAAATTACTGAAAGAATTTAAAGAGGTGTGTACAACATTTCTCCTGATAATGTATAGAGTAAGCAAAAGTCAATGTTTTATACTGTCCCGAAAAAAGTTGACTGGCTAACCTAATGGTTCGGGGTTATATTTCGGAATGGGTCGTGGTGATACGTATCAAACCGGTTTGCAGGTCGGGGGTGATGTTGAATAAGCGCCCAAAGTTCTGTTTGGACAATCAATCGCGGTTACGTGCTGGCGATCACAAGAAATGAACGCACATCTGGAGCTGGAAATAATGCTCGTAAACATTACGAGTGGTGTGGTGTGAGTGGTGTGACTGGGTCAAATATAAAATCTCGGTGGTTGCGGCAGCCTCGGGCAGTGGCTCAACTATCAGAGGGGCCACGGGCCAACCTGTTAGGCACAATGTAGGACAGTGGGGGAGGGGTCCCAACACTTTTAGTTGAGCCACAGGCGTAGAGCTGATACTTTGCTTTGCCATCATGTCCACTTGCCTAATAGATTGCAATTTGGACCTGTTGGTTTTCTCTCAGAGATTTGTTGACATTGAGTAAACATTCGATATCACCATTAAATCAAGATTACTCAATGAATAAACATTTTAATTTTCAGATTCGAGATATAAATCAAACTAACATAGCTAAAGTAATTGGAGCCTGTATAGAGACAAATTACAAGTGTATTGTTGTCGAGCACTGTTCAAAAGGAACACTGGAGGTACGAGATTACTTAAGTAGAACTGATTATCGTTTCTTTAGATTGCGTGCATTGTACAGTAATGCACATTAAGTATTTTATTTTCAGACTATTCTTCTACGGAAGAGGAAACGGATTGAAAGGCATACATACCAATTATAAGTAAAAATCGAACCCTTCAACATTTAAATAAAAATTCAATGTACTCATCGCTGCTTGATCAATAATCAGCAAAAAGGGTATCTCGACATCCAAATCCTTTTATATATAGACAGCTTTATGGAACAACAATCACTGGTTAAAGTTTTATGCAACGTTTCGACGTGTTTCCCCCGTCGTCCTCATGCACATGAGGGTATCTGGACATCCAAATCCTTTTATATTAGATAAGATATTCGCAATTTGTTTTAAAAGCTTACAGTTTTTTTAAACATTTTATTTTTGTATTTAAGGATGTCCTTGGAAGTACAGAAATAACACTCGATGCCCACTTCAAATTTTCCTTAGCAATCGATATAGCACAGGTAAAGACGTTATACAAGAATTTAAAACTTAAGACCATTCTTCCTGTTCCTTGTTATTCTGTCGGTGGAATATATACTGCCCACTCCCAAGATAGGGAAGCCAATGAGATTAAGACACTAAATACCGCAAGACCGATATGACTGAATTTTCACCATGTACCCTTTTTGTCTCCTTCAATACTACCAGTAATCGAGAAAGTACGATAGTCTATTGGAGAGAAATATCTATATTCAATATAGCAAACTAAAGTCAATTGGTGTATAACAAACTAACCTCTCGTCCATTGGGCGGGTTATTATTTAGTCTAATTTCAGATCAGGAAAGAAGAAAAAATTCCCTGCTTGTTGTTCAAGGGAGTTTTTGTTCAATCCTAGGCCAGTACATTTGGTAGCGTCAAACCCCTCTTCCCCGAAATCTTAAAATATTTATTCTTTGATCTTTTCTTTAAAAGCAAGGTGATTCTCTGTATGTTCAGGCGTCCTTTATTACTATTTTGCAATATTTATTAGCATAACTTTTATAATATTGTACACATTCTTTCAGGGAATGACTTTTATACATCAGAGTTCTATACATCATCACGGTAATTTATCTAGTATGGTTTGTTTAATAGATAATAGATTCTCTGTTAAAATAACAGATGTTGGATTACGATGTTTGTACAGCCGTATGAAAACAGACACTAGTAAACAGGAATATATTAATGGTAATTATGTATTAGGTCAAAGTAAATGATTCTTTACACAATAAATTTTTGCATATTATTGAAGGCAAATATTTGTCGTAATAAACACTTGTCATAATAAAACTTGCGAGCAGAACTTCAGTCCTGTATTGAACATTGAACTGCACTTCCATAACGTTCGAGTGCTGCTTAAATATACTTAGAAATTCACAGAATAAGAAACCAAAGCTAGTACCAATTCCGTATACGCACTTAAGTATATTTCTATTCTCTTAATATAAATATCTTTCATGTTTTCCAGGATGTTTATGGAAAGCACCAGAACATTTAAGAAATGATGATGTGTTTGGATCCAGAGAAGGAGATGTTTATAGCTTTGGTATTATTTTACAAGAAATCATCACCAGGGAGTCACCATTCTCGTTGGAAACATTAGATATTGGAGCCAAAGGTTCAATAATACTTCCTTTTATGCTACATCAAAAAAGGCCTACATAAGCATGGCAGACTGTGCAAATTATGTGACAATTTGCTTGGGTGCGTCGCAGACATGGTGGTCGAAACTTTTAATCTGGATCTTGAATGAGTGATCTTTCCTCAATATTCAAGTCTACCCAGCTGTAAATGAGCACGGATAATCTGTCTAAGATCGATGCCAAGCTAGGGCAAGGACTAGCTGGTAAAAATATCCTCGTGAACCTTTCAGAAAAAATGTCCTTGGTTTCTTTATTTTTGTAGCATTTGGTTTTGTAATGTATTAACACAGGCATAATAAAGTATACTGAAATTGTTCTTCCGCATGATCATCGAAACGTTTAACTAACATTTCATTCCCTGTAAATTTGCAGATGTAGTAATGAAAGTTAAAGAACATCACTATCCCCCTTTCCGTCCTAAAATTGACGTTCCGCCTAAATTAGTCGAGATGTTTGATCTTATGAGGCGGTGCTGGAGTGAAGACCCTAATGAACGGCCAGCATTCAATTCCATGGTGAAGGCACTCAAACAAATGACATCGTAAGTAAAATTATAAATTGTGATTGATATACTTTCTCGTTTGAAAAGTTCATTAGCTGGTGCCAATGTTTGCCAGTATGTTCTTTGGATTTAGTTTTGCGGTTCGGAACGTTAGTAATTAGTTTCTTATTTACTAAAGATTTGATAATGATATAACTAAGAGATCCTTTTTTACATCCAGAAGATGTAAACCAACAGTCACAGATTTCCATTCGTTTCCTGTCTGGCCTTTTCTACAGACAGTAAAACAAGTACCCGAGGAATTCAAATCTCGTGGAAGAAACCCCGCTAATGAAATGAAATAGACGTTTCATCTTACGTACAGATTTAGCTATTGTGATCGTCAGATGTCTGATATACCGTTGTTTTATTGATGAATCAAACGGGAATAATGCTAATATTTTTTTTATTGAAAGAAAATAAAGATTTTGTAACTTCTAGGAAATTTGGTGAATCAGGAAATCTTTTAGATAACTTATTAAAGCGAATGGAACTTTATGCTAATAATTTAGAAAAAATGGTGGATGAAAAAACCCAAGAAGTTAAAGAAGAAAAGAAAAGATCAGAAGAGCTTTTATACCAAATATTACCCAAGTACGTATTGTATTATGTCATACTTTGGAAAATTGGTTAAAACATGTTGAAGATTCTTGAGACCACTAGAACCAAAATAAGTTTTACTTGTGGGGATATGAACTTAAAGCACTCAGCAGATGTCAATGTAACTTACTAATGAGTTTTTTTGCTACTGCTTTGCTGTTTCTCAATTGCAAAAGATTTTTCATGCTTATTTGCAGTCAGTGTGGTACAAGATTTTACAGATCCATCTTCATAGATTTTACCACAGATAAGGACAAAAAAAAATCATTATTTTTTCCAGATCTGTAGCGGAAAGATTAAAATGTGGATTGAGAGTAGAGCCAGAAGCGTTTGATTGTATCACTATTTATTTTAGTGATATCTGTGGATTTACTACCATTTCTGCTAGATCGAAACCAATGGAGGTAGGGGAGGAATTATGAATACAGGATTTTACGTCATTTTGCACAATAATGTTGGAAGTAAAGCATATTGCTTCTTCGCAAATTGATTACTAGAGCACAATGTAACGTTCTTAGAGCCCTCCGTTTTAATCGACAGAAACGGTCATTGTCCAAAATAGTTAGAAATGACAGTTTGTTTCAGTTGTTATGTGGATCTTTAGAAACAAAATAGTTTTACATCCAATACAGAAGGTTGTCTATGAGAAACTTTTTCATTCTACAATTTTTGATATTGTGAGTTTTCAAACAAACCCAGAAGTTACAGATCATTTAATATCTGATCTATTTGCTTCAGGTAGTTGATTTGCTCAATGATTTATATTCATGTTTTGATGCTATTTTAGAAGAGTTTGATGTTTACAAGGTAAAGAACTTGTTTTCCATTATAATCCCAACATTCTATAAAAGACACAAATGTACAGATTTTTCTAGCATTTCAAATTATGCAGGGATGTGTTTCACAATATAATTCATAAAATTATGCAAATTTACATGTTAAAGTTTTCTTTTTCCATAGTAGTCTATTAATCGCCAAATATCCCAAGTTATCAAATCATTGTTACTTTCAGGTAGAAACTATTGGTGATGCCTATATGGTAGCTTCTGGTTTGCCACAAAGAAATGGACATAAACATGCTGAAGAAATAGCTAGAATGTCACTTGCCTTACTTAAAGCTATAGATTCATTTCGTATGAGACATTTACCTGATGAAAAACTTAAATTACGTATTGGTCTTCACTCAGGTATAAGGGCATAAAAAGTTATTTTTCAATCTATAATGGTACTGTCTCTCTGGGGTTCAATCGAAGCCTTATATTATACTTGCAGTTTTACGTTGAAACATGCAAAGTTATTGCCCTTAACCTAGCCAAAATGCACTAGTGAACGCGAAAGAAGATGCATTATTGACATTGAATTTTGAGTTCTTTGATGTGCTGCACTGTTGCTAAAAGATTTTGGCATATTTATCCCAAATTGGTATACTAGATACCGCAGCTATGTTCACATTACGCCATGGTTCAGCATATGTTGCAATTATCTGCACGGGCTTCCATTTGGTACAATAAACCTACGCTACTCTCGTACTACTTCAGTACTAAGCGTGCCATCTCGATATGTCAAGTGAACCATAGAATATTATTAGTCGGTGTAATCTGTCAATCGCTAATTGATTGATATAGGCTAGTCTGGAGCAATAACTCTCCAACTAATACATATTCCATTTAATCACAAAGACCAGACGCATATACAATATCTGTTTAACGGATATTAGCGTAGACGTGAAAGGTTATAGAGGAAACCCTTTAATGTTAATGCTAGAAATAACGTAGTCGAATTTCTAATAATAAAAAAATACTTTACGTTTTATTTAATACAAATTGTCTATTCCCATTTACACCACAATACATTATTGTTTTATTGGAAAAAGAATATCAAGCAATAAAAAAGATTTAAAGTCCCCTCATTTCGATATCAATGATTTTAAACGGTTTGGTTTGGCTAGAATAACAGTTTTATGTAGGTTTTACTAGTCCCAAATAATCACACTCTTGTAGTCGGTGCTACATGCATTAATAATTGTCATTTTATACTGTAGGACCTGTCAGTGCTTGTGTTCTAGACGTTAATAATTACCATTTTATACTATAGGGCCTGCCTGAGCTGGTGTTGTAGACGTTAAAATTGTCATTTTATACTACAGGGCCTGTGTGTGCTGGTGTTGTAGGGGTCAAAATGCCGAGATATTGTTTATTTGGTGATACAGTTAATACAGCGTCTAGAATGGAATCACATGGTGAAGGTACGCACCATCAAATTGAACATTACAAGTCAATGGTGCTTAAAGAAAAACAACTTGATATTAATCAACTAATAAAGCCAAATTACCAAGTTTTTGAAAACTGTATTCATCAGAGGATGTCGGAATAACAATAATGATATCCATACGATATAAACCTTAGAACTTCTTATATATTCAAGGATGCAGATTGCTCGACGGCGTTTTCAGTTTCCGAATCGGACGTCAATTGTCATCGACTAACCAATAAGCTCAACTTTGAGATCGAGCTCATAGCCTTAACTTTACAATGTGAGCTTCAACTCTTGCGTTTTGTCAACTATCATCATCATTATTTTTTACAGGTCTGAAAATCCACATGAGCGAACCTACGACCAATATTTTAAAGAAATATACTTCTTTAAACATAGAGAAACGTGGAAATATTGAAATAAAGGTCAGTTTTAAGTATGTGTTCACATTCGTGTAGTCAAAATGATTAAAGGGAAATAACAAATTTATATTTGTAACGATTTAATCCACATTATAAGGACTCACTCCACTAATTCATTTGCCATCTCTTCCCATTTTGAAACGCGAAATTCAACCTTTTACAACTTTTTAAAGAAATCTCGTTGAAAGCTTTCCAATATGTCAAATGAAAGTCTGACTATCTCACCAAATCTTAAAGATAATGCAATTTCAGACCTCAAATTCCAAATCTAGACCAAAAATTACCCAAAAATAGGCATGCAAAAACCCCGAAAGGGAGAGAGAAAGAAGATTTCTAAAAATAGCCTGGACTATACAATCATTTGAATAAAATGTTTTAGTGGAGTGAGTCCATAAGTTACGAAGTGCGCTTCGCAAGTTGGCACACGAGATACGGGTCAAAGCATGTGGAAACGATTGATTCATCCTATTTCATTAGATAGTAGAAAAATCGTAACCACTAAGGGATCAAAACAAGGTGCGGAAACGAATCGATTCTTCATTTTGATTCGCTAAATTCTCAGAACCAGACGCCATACTTTCGTATGAGATTACATTTTGCATTATATCAATTAACTTTGAACCATATTGCAGTTTGTTTTACCAGCAGTACCCACACCAATGTCAACCTTGTCATATTTGTTGTATTGACAGGGCAAAGGTTTCATGACAACGTATTGGTTATTGGATGGTTGCAAGACAACAGAAACACATTCCATTACATCATAAGATTTGATAAACAAAATTATAACCCAGCATTAGTTAGATATGACCAATTATCATAAACTTAAACTCATCATTCAATTCTCTGTACTTCCAAGCCTAAGGCAACATATTTTTTCTCAATTTTGTGTTACAGGATTTGTGAAAAAATCGATTTTTCTTCTTGACTCTGAAATGTTCCAGTACCGGTTGAAAATCCTATTTTTTTTTTGTGTCAAATTTGATTAATTGGTACCTCTAATGAAATATCATGTATTCGTAATCATATCATTATGTTCTTATGGCATTTTAACCAATCATAAATGTCCATGTATGTACTGTCTGGATAAACAAAAAGGACTTTTTGACCTATCTTGATTGGTCACTCATTGGAATTCTACTGGTAATTCTTTTCTAATTTAGCTAATTATGAATTAATTATGGATGTGTGAGACAAACTGGTATGTTTGCAAGTCATTAGAACACCTCTACTTTCTATTCATATAAGTATTAACATTTTATTTTCAAAAATGAAAATAAGGGAACCCATATTTAAGCATAATTATAATGTACAGTGTTACTAAATGGAAAATTATGAAGGCTTCGCATTAATAATTTTCTATCACACTGAAAATCAAGTAAGAAATAAAATGATTTATGACATAAAAATTTCCGACATTAAGTGACTCTTATCTTATCAAATGTGATTTCTCCTCATAAATAGCACGCTAAAAAAAGGTTCTTTTGTCGTAGGTCTACATTATATTGAGGGATCGTTGGTTGGTAGTAATTTTCCAATAATGAAATTACTAGCTCTCCTTTTTGGAAGGCGTGAACATAGATCAGTTCACATCACACTTGCCGGAGTAGCTTCCGTCTCGGAGCTTTACGATATACATGTTTACTGGCTGTTATATCTATCAGAATATTATATTATATATATTGATTAACTTCAGAATAAATGCTATCAAAATACATAATATATGTTGTTTCTTTTAAGACAACACTGTTACAACGAGACTTTAACTTCAATACCGTGTTTAATGCAAATTTATCTTTTTACAGTTGGTCCATTTTAAGCGAGTCTCAACAGTTTCTTGCACTTCAGGAAAAGTTTGAAATATCCGTAATAATACTGCTGCCATAAATGTTAAAGCCATTGAAAAGACGTCCAAGTTGAAGATTGTATTTACATCTTAAGATTTGTCAGAGCTAAGACGTAGTCATAAGATGGATTATGCAACGACCAAGCTGTGGGAAATGTATTCTGGGGACATTTGTCCTTATATAAGCAATTATCTATAAGTGGCTGTAGTCGATCATGTTCAACATGATATTTAAATTGACTTATAAATCATTTCTTAATTATCATTTAACACAGTAATAACTATGATCATTTTATAAAACACATAATAACAGACTTGAGTTCAAACACCTTAACTGATGAGGGGGGTGATGTCAAACTGAGTACAGAAAAGGCAGAAGTTAAAGACCTAATAAACGACAGAGTAACTTGATTTGGAAAATAAATCGACTCAGTAACTCGATAGTCGGATAAATAAGTAGACAAAACGGAATATTCGAGTTTTCAAGCAACAAAGTCAATTTTAGAGCTGTCAAATTTTCTTTAATTCAAGTCAACAAATGTGTTAACAAAGACCAAATACTATTGGTTTATGATACACAATATATCAAACTAAGTAAGTTATGCGCTTTCTGTGATAGAGAACTTGCATAATTAGAGAATTTAATCATTGATTCGTATTATATTAAGGTTTAAAAAAACATTTTCATGTTGGTAGTTATGTTTTAATAACTATGAGACTTGTATGTAATTATGTCATGTGCAGCTTTCATTACAATTACTGTCTCTTTTATAACCTTGACCTAAATAATCTGTATTAAATTTGAAATAAACAATTATGTTTTTTTTTTAAAATTTTTAATGAGATGCATTCTGTGCAAAAACTGTGAAAATTAATTTGAAATCATCGATTTTTAGAAATGAAATGAAGTCACGCCTCCAAAGATTGCGTGTAGAGGACAGTTTTGGTTTCTATCAGCATAATCAATAAAGCTCTGTTCATTTTCATTGGAAGTTAAAAGTGATTATTGATATACGAATTTATGGATTATAAAGCCATTTGCCAGAAATGAAGGATATTAAACTTGAAATTCATAATCTTCGAGATCTGACTTTTGTTTTATCTGGACAAGTATGGAAGTGATAAGGCTGATATTTTTAATCCTAAATTTTGTTTGTGGCAATTCTAGATTCCAAGCCACCATTTGTTCCATTATTGTCAAGAATACGCCTCTAGCATTTGATATATTGAAATCAGGGCCAGCGTTAGATATGGCTTTGGAATATGTAAAAGAGAAATACAATGATACAATAGATTTTAAATATGTTTATCGTGATGGTGGTCGAATCTGTGGACCAGCTAAAGCAGCTCATGCAGCTTCTGAAGTTTACTACAGCGAAAATGTTACTGTGTTTATTGGACCAGGTATGATTCTTTTAGTGTCACCTTTACCAAACGTGGGAGTTTTTTTTCAGAGAATTACTGTTATAGTCGGGGAATGCTTGTGGCAGCATGATAGCTCGTGATGTGATTTTTTGTTTTGCACAGTCCACATGAGAGGACTCGAGATGATTTGGATTAGCCCACCTTCCACATTTGATATTGACGGAAAAGGTCGTTCTGCAGTGTCATGATTCATGTCATTCAAGTAGTACTCTATAGATCATTTATAAATATGTTTTATAACCACTTGTCAATTTAGGCTTCTTGTGTCTAATTCGTGCAAAGGTTGTAGGTGTTATGCTTAATTTCGTTGAGTTCACTCAGAACGAAATTTAATTACATTATTTGCTTTACGTAATATAAAGCCAGGGATGAAAACCGCATTTTAATACTGAACGTGCAAACAGTAAGACAATCGATTGCGAATTTTCACTTTAAATAACATAATATTGTTGTTATTAGCATAACTGCGATAGAAGTATTTCTGTTATATTTGAACAAACTGGGTGTGTATTAAAACTATAGACAATCTGACTCCACTCAATGTCAGGAAGGAAATCAGAGATATAATCCTGATTATTGTATGCAATTAACATTGATATTAAAAACGTATAAATCAATATATTTGTATTTTTAACATATAAAACGGTGTATCGTTTTGAACCACAAAAACGTGATGTAAATGAACTTTAATCTAGCTCAGTTTGCGTATGACAAAAATCATATCTCGCGTGCATTACTTACAATACTTACATGTCAGTTTTTGCTCAAGAACAACCTTAGTGGTTGTTGATATTATACCAGAGTTTGTTAAGGTAAAAATTTTCCAATAAAGCTGTTTGCACTAGCATTATCCTCAATCATAGGTTAGGTGAATGGATTTTATTCAGCGTTTCTGATTTCCTGGTAAAAATTATTTTGCAATCCTGATTAGTTTCCCACGCTTCCGATGCAAAATTACGGTTGCTTTTAAGCAGAATTTTGCACAATTTTACTCAATCATAGTGTTGCTGAATGGATTTTATTAAGCGTTTCTGATTTCCTAGCAAAAATATTTTTTATCCTGAACAGTTTCTCATCACAAAAATTACGGTTGCTTTTAAGTAGATCAGAAGCACTTGCCGAATACTGAAACTCGTCTATTTGTACAATATAATAAATTTGCACAATCAACCTTTTCAGCGTGTAGTTTGGCAGTGGAGCAAATGGCATATATGGCAACTATATGGAACATACCGGTTATAACACCCAGTGGAACCTCTGGAATTCTGGCAGACAAAGAGGCCTTTCCCATTCTGATAAGAATTGCATTTGGGATGCAGGAATTTGCTGCTTTGTATTTAAAACTGTTTAAGCTATATTCATGGAGACACGTTGCGCTGTTATACGAAAGTGATGTCAGTTTTAACAAGATAATTGGTGGAACATTCTATGAAGCATTTAGAACCTCTAGACTGTCGTTGGTTCATTTCCAGATCAGCAAAGACATGACTTTTGAAGAAAGTCGACACGTATTACGGAAGGCAAACGAGAATGCCCGAGGTATTCATTTATATTTTGAATATTTAGAGAACATCTAGAAAGATACAGTGGTATCAACGAGCACTTTTACTGAACATGCGACGTAATGAATTGCACCGTAAATCGCCACATATTTCAAACTTTGGCTTAATTTAGCATAATTTTAAATTCGTTTGAGGAATGCATCATTTCGAAATCATCAGAACATTCCAAAAATAAGAGTAATATTAAAATTAAAGAACGAAATAAAATCGAGGGAATAACATCATGTATTCTTTCCAGTGTTTGTGTTGTTAGCGACAACTAAAACAATACGTAAACTGATGCTGGCAGCTCATAGCTTACAATATACCAATGGTGACCATGTTTTCATAGCAACTTATCCCGTATATGAGAAAATGAACATTTGGTACAAAAATGATGAAAATGATTCGGTAAGATCGATCTACATTCAGGTGAAAGCACAACAAGATGAGCATCTGATGTATGAAGTTTTGCATTGAACTTGCATTTCCAAGATCGCCACAGCTGGTGACCTTTATAAACTGCCATAATGTGATGTCAAAACACAAAAAATGTAAATATATGAAGTTCGCGAAATGCTGGCAAAAATTGTCAAATAAAAGGTGAATCTTCATATCTTAAAATAGTCAAAACAAAAAGTAAATCTTCGAAGAAATTCAATAAATGCAGACAAAACAGAGTGATTCTCCCAAGAAACAGTCAAAACAAAAGAATTTTGGTCCAAATTATTTAAATGAATTATAATCTTCTCCCTGTTTAATTTCAGATTGCAATGGAGGCTGCCCAAAGTTTGTTGTTAGTAAACCTTGAACAGAAGTTTGATTCTGAATATATTCAGTTCAATGATGAATTAGTATCGAGATCATATATTGACTATGGTTTTGACTATGGCGATATTGAGGTACATTTTATGTTATTTTCAGTTGAATCCATCCGAGAGAGAACATTACCAAGAGGTTTTGGCTAAGGATAGGAAAGATCCTCGAAACCCATGACAGTATTATTGTATATATGAAGTAATTTCAAAAGTATCGGTTGTGTTAATTTAAACGTCGATTTGTTGTTATTCATATTTATAACAATGATCAATGTTTGGGTGAGGTAAAATAATCCGTACGATCATGTTTTACGATTTAATTCTGGGTAGAACAATAGCAATAGATTTCATTTCTATCGATTATTAGCAATATATATATGGTCCACTATGTCTGCGAAGAATATGACCTTCAGAATTTTATGAAGTATATGACATGAATCAAATAACTCGTGAAGTTAGTGCAGTTGACCTAACTTTTATCAATACTGAACATTGATTATTAATCAATTACAGTTGATATTTATCATTCTTCTTGAATTTAACGAGTGGTTGCCGAGAAGATACACACACTGTAAACTATTTCAAGATTGTACCTTTAAACTTTGCTATATATAGCTTGAGCTATTTGTCCTTAAGATCCTCGAATGAATAATATTTTGTAACAAATTTCAGAAGGTGCGCTATGCCATAAGTGCACCAATATCATGACGTCAAGACAGTATCGCAATCCAAATTACACCACGGTATTGAACTTGCCCAGGAAGTGATTATGATGGGATATATTCTTTACAACAATATACTATTGTGATCATTTTGAATACCATTACTGAAATATACCATTCAATAAAATAAAAAACAAAGACATCTTATGATCTTAGAAACTGTGCCTGATTTGTGCAATAAATCATTTCATTAAAATATGATCATAATCGATCAAGTTTAGCAAGGTGGAAATGATAACTATTGGTAAAGCTAAATTGCAGCCATCCATATAAGTTCTAAACTTCGATGTCTGGTCCCGTTTATTTACTGAAATAAAAAACGTATCTTGAAAGTGTTAACTATACTGTTTGCTGAAGCATTTACATTTACGCGATTAACAATGGCATTAGAAATAATGCACGTAAAACAATGTTAGTCACCACGGAATGGTTTACGTAATTATGATTTAACACAATTTTTTGCATAACACACTTGTCTGCCGGATGTCCTATTTCCAATGACTGTCATTCTGGAAATTGCAATGTCTCGAAATATGGCCATTTGAAAATATACCTTTTATATACAAGGTGTGATTATGTATGTGTATCTTCTTAACTTACTTTGCAACTACAAATAGATATCTCGGTTGTCACACAACGTATTTCCTCGGGCTATTGATTTCAGGACAGATTATGAAATACCCTTTAGAAAGAGAGTGGAAATTAAACCGTTGGTGGTCAGTCAAGACCAATATTTAATATATTTTAATATTTTCATTATCTAATATAACCGAGAGTAATAGACATTTATTAAATGTATTTAATCAAAAAAGTATTACTGAAACGACCATGTATTACAATTATGACCACTTGATTCCTGAGGATCATGTCTATCAGCTGATCCTTAGCACATTTTACCTTGGGCTAAACCTTTTGGTCGTGTTCTTCCCTCGATTACAGCTGGTAGGACTTGGCATAGGATATACATCAACAAAAATTAGAATCCATGTCCATCATGTGGGTGACGATAATAATAAGCTGTGGCGAGCTTCCGAAACCTTCCTTCTATTATAAACAATGCCGTTGGTGAAGAAGTATAAAGCATTGTTTGAATCATACTAAAACAAATCACCAAGATTCAAATTCTGAAACGACATCCTCCCTGAAATTAATTTAGTTCACTGAAACATGGTGACCAAGCATTACGTAAGCAGGGACATTGATGATGTATCGACAATAAACGTTCTGTTTTGCTTATACTGACTGTGATGATTTATCATGAATAACATCTCCTATTTTAAAGCCAAATATACTGTTACCAAGATTCTATGATGCTGTACTTATATATGCCGAAATCTTGAATGAGACTCTAGTAGAAGGTGGTGATCCTTTAGATGGATTAGCTATTGTTACAAAGATGAAAAATAGAACATTTCATGGTAATTTAATTTACATGTATTATTTTCCTATAACTATAGTGTTTTGGGCAAAGTTTAATGTTTGAAGACTATGCGTGGTAAATATTCTCATGTTTAAACTTCAGAAAATTTGTCTCATTCACTGATGATGACAATGTAGATTGTTGAAACGTGTGTAATAAAACTAATGAGTAGTATACCATACAATTGTGTTATATAAACTGAATTATTGGTTTTGTTATGTTATTTTTGAAGGAAAAAGTGGTCGAATATCTATCAATGCCAATGGTGATAGATATACAGATTTAGTTTTGTATGATATGACACTGCCAGATATGGGCGCATTTGAGGTTATCTGATTTTGAGTTTTTACGTAGTCATTCTATCATTGTGTCATTTTATCCACTGCTGTCTACATTTCACTATTTCTTCCAATGCAGAGAGCATTCTCCACACTGACTGTATAGTCAATCAATCAATATTCGACTGAATAGTTCCAAGTCTACAAGACCTTCGCCCTGTATTGTCTCTATTGCACCAATGTTCATGGATACAAATTTCTCAAATCTGTTGGCCAAAGTCCTTCAATTCACAAATAAAGAGTTGGAAATATACATGTATTACGAATAATATTGGAAATTAACTAAGGAAATCCGCCATTGGGATGCAGAGAGTGCCCACATTAATAAAATTAAGTTCCTTATTTCTTCTGGTAGTCCTAATTATGTTTCTATGTTTCATATTAAGATTGTTGGGTTTTATGATGGTAAGCTACAAGAATATACACCAAATTATTATAAGAAGATTCAATGGCCTGGTGATAAAGGACCACCACCTGATATACCAGAATGCGGTTTTAGAGACGACACTTGTCCACAACAAGGTAAAGCCACATCTAGTAGATATCTGTCCATTAGAAGACATTGTTTTTTCAAAATGTTACATGAAAATATTTCATGAAATTTGCAACTAGCCGACAGTCAATTTCATATTTGATATTAAGTGCCTCTTGATGATTGGTGTTTTTCTGTTGAAGTAGTTCTGTTCTGTAGAATGAAAAATGTCATAATGTAATTACATCTATTTAAAAGCTTTTAAAGAATATCAACATGAAATCATGAATGCAGATTTTGATTTCATCTGATTTTCGTATCGTATTCTTCCGGTGAAAAACTCCTTCCACGATCTGAGAAAATTACTGCTTAAATTACAGTTCAGTTGACGTTCGGTCAAAAGGCATCATTTCATCAGCTGATCATAATGAATTAAAGTATGCTGACAATGCAATCTTTTGTATAAAATATCCCAGAATTCCTAACGTGGTAGAAAGAGTTTTAACGCATCAGAGCTTTTTTTCCTACGATTATTTTGGCAAATGAAGTAAAGTATGGAACAATTACATAACGAACATTTAACTTTAATCAGATTGGGGTTTATTTACAATATTTTCAGGATTGTCGAAGGTCTTTGTTATAAGCCTCTCGTCGTGTTTTGGAGCTCTTGCAGTGATGACGTTCATAATTGGTATATTATGTTACAGGTATGATTCTTTATAAACTTCATTGAGCATATAAATATATTAATATATTTCCAAGGGTATATTGTAAATTTTCTGTTAGACATTGGCTGCTCCTCTTCGGAATGATGATCAGAAGAACGAGAATAGGCCACTGCCAATGTATTATAGCATAAAATATGTCGTCAGCATCTGAACCCGCATAGAATTAAAAAAACGTTGGCTGTGGCCCGTCCCATTCCAAACTTCTGCAGCCGCCACTGGATCACCTAAACGTTATAATATTTGACAAGGAAATTAAACAATATTGCTCTTTCATAAAAGACGATGGCGAGGTAATGCCAGACAAGACTTATGGTGGTGGAAAATACAGCTAGAAGAACTCATCTTTGATAAAAGAACACAAAACGGCTCGTCAATATCTTTTATGGGACGGGTAAGTATTTACATTGTCTGTTGTCAAGAGGATATGGATGGACCAAGTAATATTGCTCGTGATTATGGTGGTGGATGTTTTGGTCAAGAGAGGGCTACTATCGGTTGAAATATAATTTGGCTCTTGGTATGTCTTTTGTGCTTAAGGGAATAAGTGTTCATCATGGTTTATGTCTTATTTATTTACAGAGAGCTTCGTTAAAGAGTGAAATTAACAACTTCTCAGATGTTCATGTTGGTATAGCTTTATACAAGGTAATTTTCAATTATGATAACAATATCACGGATATTTATTTAGTAGATGAGAATCGATTGTTTTGCATGTTTAGAAGGTAGATTAGCTTAGTTTATGTCTAGTTAATTAACTACAATCGTTATAATCAGAATATACATATCGCCAGGCAAAATTAATAAATGGGTATATTCGTTTCAACTACAGTGACCAAAAGTAAATTGACAATAAAGGACATACAGTGTTCCTTTTGAAAGTCACCACGATTTCAAATAAGTGGTTATGGAACAATTGGATTTATGACTAATTACTTGTTATTTTGCCCATTTCCACCTCACCGCTCTCCCTTTACATCAGATTAATTATTTTTAGGGTATAACAGTTCAAGTAAGAGAATTGAACGTGAGCGATATTCCAATCACAAACCAACTACTCAATGAATTTAAGGAGGTATAGCTTAAAACCACGTTATAATTATTATATTCTGCAAATATTAAAATTCCAAATGAGATATACCTTGGATGTAAAATTATCATTCACCTTTCATGCACACAATCTGGAAATGCGCACATGTCGAGTTTATTTATTGCAGATTCGAGATATTAACCAGAATAACATCGTTAAGGTGTTTGGAGCCTGTTTTCATCCCATTTCTTCGTTTCTGGTTATAGAACATTGTTCAAAGGGTACACTACAGGTTTGTTACAATTTCCATATTATGTAAGGTTGATCATATACATGTAAATGTATCGATAATATCAGAGGCTGTTCCATTGTACTAATGTATGCTTTCAGAGTTTTCTGTAAAATTTAACTTTTCTTCCTCATAATTTTTTTTTGTGAATTCTGTGATTATTTACAACTTTGAAAATTCTCTTATTATGTACAATTTATGTACAATTTTGTAAATTCTCTCATTATGAACAATTCATTGCAATTTTACGAATTCTCTCATAATGTACAATTTATATGCAATGTTGTTAATTGTCTAATTATGTACAATTTATTACAATTTTATAAATTCTCTTTTATTTATGTACAATTTTGTAAATCTTGAATATTGTAAATTTTCTGATCATGTGCAATTTTGTGAATCTCTGATTATGTAAAATTAAAACCTTCAAGGTCTATACTTTACTTCTAATTTCGATTAATTGAGAACATGCTATTATGATTCTTTTACTCACTACTTTTCTCGAACACAATATCGATATATGTATGGTAATATTTGTGTGTGAAAATATTGGCATTTAAATTATAATCTTTAAATTAGTTCAGTCAAGTTCATATATTGACAAAGTTGAGAAATCGATGTTTATACTTTGTTATTAGGATGTAGTGGGAAATACCGAAATCAAACTCGATGCACATTTTAAATTTTCTTTGGCTATAGATATTGCCCAGGTATGTTCGTCTTTTTTCTATTTTTCCTATAGTATGACAATAATGTCACAACCCCTTGATATTCCGCGTGTCATGTAACAAAGACAACCTGTCTTAGATGAAGGTTTTGCTTCATCATTGTTGTATACATACATCTAACTTAGTTGATAAGATTATAAAAATAACGGATATATTTAATGAATACTAATATATGATGCCAATGTTTTGATCCTGCACTTGTAGTTGCTGTTTTTATATCATTTCAGGGAATGACTTTTATACATCAGAGTTCTATACATCATCACGGTAATTTATCTAGTATGGTTTGTTTAATAGATAATAGATTCTCTGTTAAAATAACAGATGTGGGGTTGAGATATTTGTATAGCTATATCAAAAAGGACAAGCTATCTCAGGAATATATTAATGGTAAATGCAATTATTTCACAAAGTTTGTCGCTAAATGACATATTGAACTTTGTCTTCCCCCACCTTTATTTCTAAAGGGTATTACAAGTTATAACCTTGTCTAATCCCTTAGGAACACTTGATGAGCATTTTCGACTGTACTGGCACCTCTGGCAGCGAGAGCACCTAGACACTGTGATTTGTTCAACAACCTTCATAACAGTAAATTAATTTAAGGACAGAGTTAGGTTATCAAGTTTAAAAAACCAATGACGATGTAAATGGCGATATACTTGCCATAAACCTGTTCTAAAGTCAGTCGATGGCAATATCAAGTTTTGAACTAATATAACTAGACATTGTTCAAATGCATTCTAAAAATACCAGATAAACTTAAACATTTCTGCAAATTTACGCTTTGCCCATGCAGAAGTGATATACATCTTCTTTCTTTGGAGTATTGTCATAGGGAATGATAAAGTTACTCGAAAATCATTCTTCTTCTGCTCAGAATGTCTATGGAAAGCGCCAGAACATTTAAGAAATGATGATATATTTGGATCTAGAGAAGGGGATGTTTATAGTTTTGGTATTATTTTACAAGAAATCTTGACTCGAGATTCGCCCTTCTCCTTAGAGACATCTGAACTTGGTGCTAAAGGTACGTACACATTTACTTAGTTGCATATCACATGTGCGTAGAACTCCCTTTAATCTATAACTGTTACGTTGATCGATAAAACTGGTTTCCAACTCTAAAAGAATAGCAATAATGTAAAATCTATATTTTGATTTCATATCTTCTCGCAGATGTCTTAATGAAAGTGAAAGAAAATAGTGGTGAGCCATTTCGGCCAAAAGTAGATCATGTATCACCTAATACATCTGATATGTTAACCCTTATGAAGAAATGTTGGCAGGAAGATCCCCATAGCCGACCTATATTTTCATCTATAGTAAAGGAACTAAAACATATGACATCGTAAGTCTTATTTGCTAATTATGAATGAATTCTTCTGGTGCCACTTAAAACATGATTGCTCATTGTTGCCGATGTTTGTAACGTCTTATCATACTATAACTCTTGTGATCAGTTCCCTTCCTCGGACTGTTAATGTTCAATATAAATATTTCCCCGGTTACCTCCCTTGAACTTTAGTCTGGCAAGTCAATTGTTTGTTTGTTTTGTTTTTGTGACTTCATGTTTCTATTTAGCAGCAATGCCGGATGGTATATGCTTACTTTTCTGGACACTCGATCTCATTATGACATACTACATCATGATTGATATTCTTCCTCATGTAAAAACTTTATTAGTTGCTGCCAATGTTTTGTCAATATATTGTTTTGGATTTCGTGTTCGGTTTTAGGTTCCAATCAAACTACGTAGAGCACAAAATTATTACGGTTAATCATGAAAAGAGCGGCCGTGTCTATATGGTTTTTGGGGTTTTTTTTTCGTGTCACATAATCCTAATGATTTATATTCATTGATAATGTAGAACGTTTGGAAATAGTGGAAATCTCTTAGATAACCTTCTCAGGCGTATGGAATTATATGCCAATAATTTAGAAAAGATGGTGGATGAGAAAACACTAGAATTAAACGAAGAGAAGAAGCGTTCAGAGGAGCTGCTATATCAAATTTTACCTAGGTTTGTATTACATCGACCTGGAAATATATATAAATAAGTGCCCGTGATAGGTATTTTCCTGAAATTTGTTTCCTAGAAACCAATAAATCGCCAGATTATCCCGCCATTGGTACCACCTTTCTAGTAACCACCAAACTATTTACTGACTATGAATCTCCCGATGTACAACTCTGGACACATCTACTTTGACATCACTTCTTTTGCCTTCATTTATTAGATATAGTAATATCTAGCTCTTCCAATAGTAATTTTCTTGTAGATGGAAAATTGTTCGCTTTGTTGCAGATCTGTAGCAGAAAGATTAAAACGTGGATTGAGAGTAGAACCAGAAGCGTTTGATTGTATCACTATTTATTTTAGTGATATCTGTGGATTTACTACCATTTCTGCCAGATCGAAACCAATGGAGGTAAGCCAACAAATTCATAATATATGGAAGGTAAATACTAGGATTTGTAAAATCTGTGTGCTTTTGTATGGGTTTTGTGGATCATCAGCCATCTTAATTCGCTTTTACATCCTCAGCGTAGCCATATATACATTTCAGTTTCAAGATGTTATTTCAGGTTGTCAATCTACTTAATGATTTATATTCCTGTTTTGATGATATTTTAGAAGGCTTTGATGTTTACAAGGTTAGTGAAATTATATTTATCGACTGGTGTGAATCAGAAAAAGCTTCTGTCAAGTTAATAACAAATGGATCATGAAGTTAATGCTGAATAAGAAGCAAGGATTTTCCCGATACTTCGTACCCATTACAGCTGCATGGGTCGAATGTTTACTGTGTGGAGAATCACTATGTCCTTCTTTGTATATTTTCTTCTTTTTAGTAAATAGGTTTCAAGAAATATAATGACTGGAGAAAAATTTTCAGGGAAAAGAGAATTATGCTGATGTATCTTATTTTTATAATGTATACAACTGGATTGATTTCTGATTCAGGTAGAAACTATTGGTGATGCCTATATGGTAGCTTCTGGTTTACCACAAAGAAATGGACATAAACATGCTGAAGAAATAGCTAGAATGTCACTTGCCTTACTTAAAGCTATAGATTCATTTCGTATGAGACATTTACCTGATGAAAAACTTAAATTACGTATTGGTCTTCACTCAGGTATGACTCTAATGTATACAGAATAAGGAATAATTTAAATCGTAAGTGCTTCTACAAGGTCGAGCAAAACAAAACACACATGTTATATATGCAAGTATGTCATTCTATACTACAGGGCCTGTCTGTGCTGGTGTTGTAGGGGTCAAAATGCCGAGATATTGTTTATTTGGTGATACAGTTAATACAGCGTCTAGAATGGAATCACATGGTGAAGGTAAGTAGGTCTGAATCTCCCTTAATTGAGCCAGTTGTTCTGTACCTTATCGTAATAGGGCAACAGCAAACAGTGGACAAAATTTAGTTATTGTGTTATATATAAGATATATATTCTTTGACAAATGTGGAAATTGTCTATGGTATATCATTGTGTAACCAATTGTTAAGTATAAGGGCAAAACATCCGCCAATAAAATTTAATACTACTGCTATAATGGAGGTTTGGGAATGGCAGTGCTCTTCAAGAAGTAACTTTTTTCTCATTTTAGGTTTGAAAATTCACATGAGCGAATCAACAAATAAAATTTTACAACAAAACAATTTCTTTGAAATTGTAAAACGAGGAGATATTGAAATAAAGGTAATGAATACTTCAGAATACTGTTAAATTAATAACTTATAACAGCCTTCGTATCGTAAAGATCCAGACCAAAATTTTATGGAAAATGCCAATTCTGATTTGGACA